TACTTTCTGCAGAATGTTAATATATTATTTATAATGTTGCTATATTCATTATAATTTCAATTAGTATATTATCGCTCACTACCAGCAAGATATTTAAATTTCATTTTCATTTTTTAATGATTAGCTGCGGGGTGGGGGTTACAGTAGGTTGAAAGCTAGTCTTCATTTCAATCATATATCCGGTTTGCACTATATTTTCAGTGTTGGGCAGTAGCGTTGCTACAAGTAGCGCCGTTGCTAGTTTAACTACATTTCTCAGTAGCTTGGTGGTTGCGTTGGTATTTTCTGAATCAAATAGCTTTTCAGTAATGAAGCTCTTTTATTGACCGAGTAGCACGGTAGCTTCCGCACACGCTACATTTCCACAAGCATTTCTGAAGTATCAGTAAGTGAAGCCACCCTCACACATGGGACCTGTATGTGCAGCTGGCAGAAGCTCTGCAGACTTTGCTGCAGGGGAGTAAAGACACTCGCGATTGAGTTTATTTTCTATTGTGATAGTTACTGTAACACCTCTTGTCAGAAGGATCAGGGTCCAGCCTGGACACCTCTTCCTCTAGTGAAGGGGAAACTTTGATGTGTAGTGGCAGAAAGCTGTTTCCATGAGATGAAATCTCTCTCTCTCTCTCTCTTTCTCGCCCATTGCCATGAATGTTTAGGTTGTTCAGGTTGCAATGTTGCCAGAGCACAAATTCACATATAAACAATAAAAAATATATAATTAATTAATAATGTGATAATTAAGTAACCTTATACAAACAACAATGGTTCGGCGTTTGTTGCATGAGGAAATACATTTAGCTGTAATGATATGGCGGTAAGTAGTTTCTGTGTGTTTGATTTTGCTCTCTCTCGCACACACACACTGTTTGGAGCAGGTTTTTAGTCTTTCTTCTATGCTACTGTAGAATGAAGTTAGTTCAATATAAACTAGGCCTATACTGTGTGAGTGTGTGTGTGTATAAAAATGACCTAACTGTAAAATATAACAAACAAAATTATAAGTAGCTTTGATGTAACTAAGCTACTTTTGCCACATTGCTGTAGCTTAGCTTACTACAGTTCACTGGGGGGTAGCTTCTGTGTAGTGATGTAGAATAGCTAGTAGCATAGCTCACTACATTTTCCAAGTAGCTTGCCCAACACTGTATATTTTAGGGGCACACATGAGAGTGAAATGGTTGCACTGTAGGGCCCTAAATTGGATTATTTTTAATGACCGGAACTTGCTACAAAGTTGGATTGCGCTCATCATACATACCTTGGTGGAGGAGGAGGATTGTCCTGCAACGGTAGAGGGAGTAGGCGGAGATCCGACTCGCAGACAGTCAAAGATATTTTTTCCTCTATCTGATGCGCAACGTTGAGGTGCTTCATCATTGACGTCGTGTTCCCCCCCTTAAAAGAAACTTTCTTTAAACAGAAATGGCATTTTGCTCTTTGTCTTTAGTAAAATGTAGCTAAACCTTGGACCACTTTCCACGTTCTGCCATCCTAGCATGCAATAAAGCAAACAAGGGCGCTTCTTCGTATAGTTTAACGCTGTTTGGCAGTGATTTGATTTCGATGACGTGACTCTTCTTGCCTCACCACGTCACATTACATTATAGGACCTGCTAGTCTCGATAGCAGTATTGATATGCTCACACCTTATTGATTTTTGGGTTTTGAGAAATTTTGGACCGGGTCCTTTTAGAACTGGGTCTCGATCCCCATCCCTATTTACCAAAATATTTATCAATACTCAGTAACAATTTCATATATCTTATTTTGTACATCTAGCTGTGTAAATGTATTTGTATAGCACCTTTGTAGTCTTTCCAACCACTCTAAGCGCTTTTACACTACATTACATTCACCCCATTCACTCAGAGGCTACGTTTCCAACTGCCCACCAGAATGGAAACTAACTTATTCATACACATTCACACACTGATGGAACAGCCATCTTGAGCAATTTGGGGTTTAGTGTCTTAGTGACAGTTTGACATGAAGACTGGGGGAGTCGGGGATCGAACTACCTACCTTCTGATAAGTGGATGACCGCTCTACCACCTGAGCCACAGCCGCCCTAATATACACTCACCAGCCACTTTATTAAATACACAGAAGTACAACAATCTCCAGGGTTTACAGAGAATGGTCCAATAAAGAGAAAATATCCAGTGAGTGGCAGTTGTGTGGATGAAAATGCCTTGTTGATGTCAGAGGTCAGAGGAGAATGGACAGACTTTCCAGAGGTTCCAGATGACAGAAAGGCAACAGTAACTCAAATAACAACTTGTTACAGCCAAGGTATACACCATCTCTGAACACACAACACGTCAAACCTTGAAGCAGATGGGCTACAGCAGGAGAAGACCACACTGGGTGCCACTCCTGTCAGCTAAGAACTGAGGCTACAATTTGCACAGGCTCACCACTGGACAATAGAAGATTGGAAAAACGTTGCCTGGTCTGATGAGTCTCAATTTCGGCTGCAGATGGTATGGTCACAATATGGCGTAAACATGAAAGCATGGATCAACCCTGCCTTGTATCAACCGTTCAGCCTGGTGGTTGTGGTGTAATGGTGTGGGGGATTTTCTTGGTACACTTTGGGCCCCTTATTACCAGTTGAGCATTGTTTAAACGCAACAGCCTAACTGAGTATTGTTGCTGACCATGTCCATCCCTTTATTTCCACAGTGTACCATCTTCTGAGGGCTACTTCCAGCAGGATAATGCACCATGTCACAAAGCGCAAATCATCTCAAACTGGTTTCTTGAACATGACTTTCACTGCACCCCAGTGGCCTCCACAATTCTCAATCCAATAAAGGACCTTTGGGATGTCGGGAACAGGAGATTGGCATCATAGATGTGCAGCCGACAAATCTGCAGCAACTGTGTGATGCTATCATGTCAGTAGAGACCAAAGTCTCTGTACCTTACTGTACAGTAGGGGTGGGAGAATTAATAGATTCTTAGATGCATCGCAATGCTGACGTGGAAGATTATGAATCGATTAACAAATGTCTAAAAATTGATTATTAAAAGTTCATTATAACATAATGTTGACGGAACGCAAAAGGCGGAACTCGCGGAAGTGCCGCGACCAGACCGTCTGCGGAGCCCTGTATTTGACACACCTACAAAATGAATAACCACCCTACTAAAATGTCACACAATCATTAATATCAATGCACAAGTAATGATTTTAACTCGCAGACTGTGAGCATAGTGACACTTGACGCTCGGCAGCTCTCTTTGTATCCTGTGTGTGAGGCTGAGCGAGTGAGTGAGAGAGAGCGGCAGAACGTGACGGTGAAAGTTAGCGGAAATATTAAAATATTAAGCTAGCAGTAAGTTTCTGTCTGGTAGTAAACGTGCAGACGTAGGTCATAGTGTGTCCGTTAATAAAAGTCTGTAGTTTCCCCAACGGCTGGAAAAGTGAAGGCTGTTAGTGCTAGCTAACATCTCCCCTGGACAAGAGCCTGCTCTGTCCCACAGACTCCGGAGTTAGGGGTCACAGCCCCCACCCTCTGGACCTCATCCCCACAGAAATGCTCCCTGTCTGGACACTTTCACAAATCTACTAAAAACCCAGCTCTTTACCAAGGCATTCAATCCTGAACAACTTTTTGTTGTTCTGTAACTATGTGTAAAGCGTCCTTGGGTCCCGTGAAATGTGCTAAAATATTTATTTATTTATGTAACGTTTAAGCTAAATTAAGTAAGTAATATTAATTATCAGCTGTATGTCATTACTAACTAACCTACTAGTCAAGGGTTGAGAACATCAGGTACAAGCTTAGACTAAACTGGTGTACAGCTCTGTCCTGTACACATACTGTAGGCTATATCCTTATAATTAACTTTATATGTCTGCTTTCAGAGGAGCCTGATGTTGGACCATAGAGCTGAGGTTAATAAAGTAAATTAGGGATGCAAACTAGTCCTTTTAAGCTAATTAGGAGATGTTTCTTTTGGATTTTAATGTGCAAATTAAATGCTTAGTAATTATCCAGGGATCCTGTACAGAAAAAGTGATGCATCAAGATGCATCGATAATTGTTTTATAATCGAATCGCAGCCCTCTGAATCGTAATCGAATCGTGAGGTGCCCAGAGATTCCCACCCCTACTGTACAGTACACGATATTACCTACTTGCACTAATATACAGTGTGTGTCTGTGTATGTGGCACTTCTTTGTACATATAAAAGTGAGTATATGGTCTAAGTATTTAGCTCAGTCTAATTCTCTGACTTTCATTTCAGTTGATTACTTGGTTTTATTATACCTTGTTTGCATGGCAATGTGGCAACACTGCAGCTGACCCCTCCCACCCTGGACACAAACTGTTTCAGACGCTCCCCTCCGGCAGGAGGCTGCGGTCCATTAGGACCAAAACCTCTCGCCACAAGAACAGTTTCGTGGCTTCCTCAACAATGACCGGGTCCCCACTGTCACTGACTCTCATGCCCCCCTTCCCAAACTCACACGCACTCATACACTCTCCTGACCCCACACTTTACAACAACGCTCATCTGTGCTTTATGCTCATGTTGCCAAATTTTGCACAGCATTTGTCAGCATTGTATTATTGTATTTTTTATATTTTTTGTATACTTGTACATTTTTTTGATCTCCTTACTTTTTATATATTTATATTACTTTTTATGTTTTATAATTACTGTAAGAACCAATTCATACCAAGGCAAATTCCTCGTATGTGAAAATGTACCTGGCAATAAACCCCATTCTGATTCTGATTCTGATTGTTGAGTGTCCTTTGTTTTTATGATTTGAGTGACTTGGCTGCTGTCTCAATGTCATTTCCTATTACCATAAATATATTATTCTTATATTCCATCTATATTATTTAGCTGATTGTTGATACTGACATAAACAACCTTACAATTCTGTGCATAACAATCAGCTTAACAAAGACACAAGATTTCTAATAAAAATGCCACCCATATCACTTAACGTGGATTAAGAAGAGGTGGACTATACCTTCTCATCATACACGATGCCTGGTCGGACCTCGGGAGCCTGGTAACCGGGTGTGCCCTCAACCCCCAATGCTCCCTCATGGAAGGATTGTCGAGAAATGCCATAGTCAGACAGTTTAATGTTGACTGGATCCCGCACCTAGAAGAAAACACACACGAGTGAACAAGTTCAATTAGATGATAGAAACTGCAAGTCTGTCTGTCTGTTTTTTCACAAAATATTAGAATATTGTCAATTCATACAAACACATACCTCCAGAGACCACACCAGAATGTTATCAGATTTGAGATCACAGAAGATGATACTCTTCCTGTGAAGGTAAGCCAGACCTACTGCAATCTGATAGGCTACTTTGAACGTTAGCATGTGACCAAGGGGCATATACCTGGAGCCTACAAAACAAAACATAACTTCATGTTCCACAAACATAGACACAGACTTTAAGACCAACTTCAGGTGGAAAATGACAGGACGACGATCTCTCTACAGTACGTGCCTTTGCGCCTCTCCTCCAGAACAGTGTTGAGGCTGCCCAGGGGGGCTAACTGCAGGGCGAAGCAGAGGGGATGGATGCTGATGCCCACCAGAGAAACAATACAAGGATGCTGCAAAGAGTGCAACATACTGGCCTCCTGGCGATATTCAGAGAAGCTCCGACAGGCATCTGCAGACTGCAGGTGTTTCACCATGGTGTCTGAGACAAAGGAGAAAGGAACAATAGGGAGCACCAAAGTTAAAAAAGGGATACTTCCAAATAGGATTCGTAGAATTGATCTAAACCCACTCATACTGAAAATTCTAACTGTGATAAGTCTACATGCTTTAATCCATCTATGTCCTTCTTTTACTATCTGTAACTCTGGTGGTCTGTGTGTCTCTGTGTAAATGTAAGGAGGGAAATGTGTAACAAATCTCTAAAAAGATCCAGTTGCTAGCATTTTTGGAGCTTTCAACCAATTCCCAAGACCTTTAGCCAGATTCCATTCCCATCAGATGCCAGAGACCATCTTTGAAAGAGACAAGGGTTACCATCCACCATACACTACCACTTATTAACACATGGCTGATGTTTCACATTTACGTCGTATGATGTGATTATTTTGTTATATATGATCAATGAACTTCCATGTTCCTGAGGAGAAGCACTCATACTGCAGAGAAGATATTGTTTGGAACTGCCACTTGAATTTGAGTTACAGACAAAATGATTCTTGTGGGGATTAAAGTGTAGTTTGTTATACATCCTCTAAATATACTTACTGCAATGAAATATGCTGATACTGAATCATATTTAATGAGACTGAAAAATGGTAACTTTCAATTTTATGATATTCTATGAGTGAGCTCCCCCAGCATCTATTCTTCACTAGAATGGAACAGAACAATGAGGATGCAACATTTTTAGTTCAGGAAAATGTGAAATATCAGGTGCCTTGAGCCATGGAAGATACATTGTCTAGGACTGGTGTCTAAGACCACTGAGGGTGTAGTCATGACCACAATCACCAGTATAAGTTCTGTTACTCTGGACAGATTTATAGATTACTATGTTTATACTGCAAAAAATTTGGGAGGGGGTCTGTATGTGTGTTAATACAACATAATAAAAACAGAGATGATTAAAGGCCAGAAATGTTCTTCTTGGCTATAGTGAACAGTACAGGTTTCTGACAGTCTTTTGCACCTTTTCCACAGCAAAACATAAAGGTTGGAGGAGCGGTAGCTCTTACCTGAAGTGACCAGTGAGCTACAGCTAGCAGATAGAGTAATTTCAAATCAGCTCTCTGACGTCTGCCTAAAGCAGAGGAAACCAATTGATCTGCAGTGAAACGATGGAGGACCCAAACAAACCACTGTATTTCACTGCTAGAGACACAAGTTCAAACACATGGGTTATTCTACCTCTCTAAATTCACATCATGAGTAGCCATTTGGTACCGGGGCCAGCACCTGACAGTGTTGGAGCCCTAGGCGAGATTTGAAATGGTTGATGCTAAACTGGATCGCTCCTGTCTCTTTAAGCTCCTCCCTCCCCCCTCCAAAAGCCCACTGTGTTCTGATTGGCCAAGATCCTGAAGCAGGATGATTATTAGAGACAAACTAAGCATAGTTGCCAGTTGTTATTGAGGCTGCAGGCAAGTTACCATATATGGAAAACTAGCTCTGTATGACATCATTAAGAGGCAAAAGTAGAGTTTTGGCCATGTTTAACATGAACATCTCAATGCTTCGTTGAGCAGAGCAATATGAAGTGGAGGTGCCTGGCTTGCAGCCTCTGAAGGTGGCTGAGGTGGGTAGTAGGTAACTTATACGATTTGTTGGTCCCCAGCTGCATCTAGTGGTCACTCGCAGGTCAGACCAGGCAGAGGCAGACCCATACGATGACGTGTTCCTGTCAGCATAATGCCAGGACAGGAAAGATTCCCGACCAATAGGTGGACAGAACAGGTGGTGAGGCAGCAGTGGAGGGTGACCACCCGTGTTGTGGAGTGAGATAGGCAGCAAACATCGGGTCCACTCAGCGCAATGTGGCCCAGATGTGTTTGTCGACGAGCGCCGGCGCAGCTGGACCTGAACACCGGCTCTGCAGCCCCTTTTCCTGTTGCAAGTAAAATCGAAACCAACCGAAAACACTTGTGATCAGGCAGAAATCTCACCACAAATCCACACACGTTAACTTCAGCAACTCAAATAAAGTGCAGCTCACAGTCCCAAACAGAGCAAGGTTGCGCATCAGTTTTTACATGTTTATATTGCAAAACTCTACCAGTTACGTTACTACTCGTCACAACTGTCTAGACTCACAGCACGATGACTTATGCCAGTGTTGCATTAGCTGGGCTGAGTTGATTCGCACCGAATCAAAAACTTTTGCTTGCGGCGCCTACAAAAATAAAATACACGTGCCTACAAATTTTGGTAGCTCTAGGTGTAACAGACAGCTGGGGCTGCTCCTTTGAAATCTTGTAGGGGGCGTAATAGAGTCGTGTCTCCACTCACATGCCCTTGAACAGTATCAAACAACACAACACACCCATTCTGATGTGTGTGCAAAGTTTTGTGAGATTTCAAGCATACAGCTTCCTGTTTCATGGAGAAAAATGCGTTGCCATGGCAATGCTGTTTGACGACAACTCACAAGCGTGACAACCTGTCACTTACCGTTGCCAGTAGGTGGTGCTATCACTACAACTTGATATTGGTATGTAGATGTCTTCGGGGCGGGATTCTTATCAATCATGTGAAGTTTGGGGCAGATATGACCATTTTCAGCTAATTTACACAGTACTTCCTCCGCCACGCCATGGGCACGCTGTTTGATCAAAAAAAGCTTTGCAATTTAACATCGCAAGGGTCTTGGGATGGCAAAGCCCACATTTGAATCGAGTCGATCTGATTATATCCCTAGGAGGAGTTAAAATATGGAAGGTGTAAATGGAAAATCGTTGCACATTCAATCCAATATGGCTGACTTCCAGTTGGGTTTAGGTTATTGATCCAAGAGGCTTATTTTTAAGTCTGGACATGATACGTACATTGAGGGAAAAAACTATTGATCCCCTGCTGATTTTGTACGTTTGCCCACTGACAAAGAAATGATCTGTCTATAATTTTAATGGTAGGTTTATTTGAACAGTGAGAGACAGAATAACAAAAAAATCAGAAAAACACATGTCAACAATGTTATAAATTGATTTGCATTTTAATGAGTGAAATAAGTATTTGACCCCCTCTCAATCAGATTTCTGCCCCCCAGGTGACTTTTAAACAGGCAACGAGACACTCTTAAAAGGAGTGCTCCTAATCACGTTTGTTACCTCTATAAAAGACACCTGTCCACAGAAGAAATCAATCAATCAGATTCCAAACTCTCCACCATGGCCAAGACCAAAAAGCTCTCCAAGGATGTCAGGGACAAGATTGTAGACCAACAGAAGGCTGGAATGGGCTACAAGACCATCGCCAAGCAGCTTGGTGCTAAGGGGACAGGACAACTTCACCGCATCAAAGGGACGATGGACGGGGCCATGTACCATCAACTCTTGGGTGACAACCTCCTTCCCTCAGCCAGGGCATTGAAATTAGGTTGTGGATTGGTATTCCAGCATGACAATGACCCAAAACACACGGCCAAGGCAACAAAGAAATGGCTCAAAAAAAGCACATTAAGGTCCTGGAGTGGCCTAGCCAGTCTCCAGAAGTAATCATTAAAATTCTAAAAGTCTATTCAAAAATATACTGGACGCCAGTTTAATGAAGCTAAAACAGGGGTGATGTGATCTTATTTCTTTGTTCTGGTTAAAGGCCTGGCAGCTGAGTTCTGGACAGTCTGGAGTCGATCAACAGATTTTTGGGTCAAGTAAGTAAAAAGGCTGTTGCAGTAATCCAGGCGTGATGATATAAAGCCGTGTAAGATGGTCTCAGTGTCCTTAAAACTAACATTAAGCGTATTTTTGATATATTTCTAAAATGGTAAAAACATGTTTGTACAAGCCTTTGTGGTGTGCTGTTCAAAACTTAAATTACTGTCAAACCATACACGAAGATTCTTTGCAACAAGCCTGATATGATTCACCAAGGAACAGGGAAGCAGATGGCAGTATTTGCTTTGCCATTTGCTGGGACCTAATGACCTCCGTTTTATTCAGCTGGGAGAAATTATTTGACATACAATTTTTGACATCACAGAGGCAGTTAGTAAGTAAATTCAGCATTCCAGGGTCTGTGGATCTGACGGGCAAGTAAATCTGTGTGTCAACAGCGCAAACAAGAAAAGAGACACCATGTTTCTGGATAATGTGTCCAAGGAGAAGCAAATACAAGGAAAACTAGAACTGCAAGCAGTTGTAAGCGGGGTCCAAGCCTCCCGACGCCAGCCGTGCCCCTAGCACCACGGGGGCCGTGCAAGCCAACTATGAAGGTATTTTTGTGTCTTCTTAATGCAAGCAAAAAAAATGTTTTGAGAGAATATTTATGGAACTGCAATCAAAAATCAAGTGTGTAATTAAAAATAAACAGGCCTTTTTTGTGTCGCTTTTTTTTTTGCTATTATGTTATATTATTTGATTGCAAGTCAAAAGGTTTTCCTTGTGAGTCAGAATGTTTTGCAAGTTAATAAGTTTTGCAAGTTAAATAGTTTTGCAAGTCAAAATGTTTTCCTTGTGAGTCAGAAAGTTTTGCAGGTTAAACAGTTTTGCAAGTGAGAGTGTTTTGCGAGTTGAAAAGTTTTGCTAGTCTAAAATGGTCAAAATAAGAGATTCTATTGGTTGGTTTGACTGACCAATCATGGGTTTGCATTTACCGCATGGCCACGCCCACAATCTCCTTGCTCCGATCAGCACTTAGCTCTACTGAAGACGGCGTTGTAACATTTGCAAGCTAGCTGGAGTTGACGTTATGTCGCTCATTTCAATAGAAATACTTTTAAATGTAGAATGGCATGATTTAATGATTATTTATATTTACCATTGGCAAGGCCACAGAGTCTATCGGTGTCTTTAAAATGACATGTATAATAGTAAGCTAACTGTTAGCCGTCTTAGCATGAAGCTTGACTGGCAATGCATTTGACTATGACTATAGCTAGGTTAAGGATAGCTACTCATGTTACATGAGGTGCTACACATCGTACATGATATCCAGCAAAACTATTTTTCTGTGACTGTGGTAATTGAAGTTTATGGTCCGTGCCAATTTTGGTGCGGATTGGACTTTCCGCTTCGGAGGAGCTCATTAAAATAGCATTTTCAGTTTTCAGGATTTTGCAAAAGGAAAACATCATTGCACAGACTTGTCCTATACCATACAATTCGAATATGTAGATATAGGGTTTATGAATGTGCGATGTACTGTCACGTAGTTATGAGGCAAAATGTCAAATTTTGCACAGACCCTCAGGGGGGCATGCCACATAACATCCTCAAGTTTAGTGTTGATGGGCCATTCCAAACCTAAGATATGACATCACTTCCTGTTTTTGCAAATTTTTGTTATCTTCTAATTGGGACATTTTTTGTTGGATCAAAATTTCCTCTAAAAACTTTTATCAGCGAGGTCCAGAGATTGTCTGTGCCAAGTTTGGTGCCGATCGGACTTGCATCCTTGCAGTCCTTACATCCCTCGTGAGGCAGACCTCTGGATTACCATACAGCACAATAGGGGTGGGGTTAAAAGACAAAATGTTATTTTATGACCTTAAAGACATTCATTTACTCTGGACATTCAGTCAGATGATACGTAGGCCTACAGAAATCATGTTGCTGCTCCGATACTTTTTAACAATATTTTCCTTGTCTTTGCATTAATTGAAGACAAAGAATTTTATCACATTACAGTCAAATTACAACAAAGAATGTAGGTTACATCTACACTATTTAATTATAAACTAATCATTAATATAACTTGAAAAATCTGGCTAAGATCAGAAATATATATACAATTGTGACAAAATGCAACAAAAAAGATGGTGCATCAAATATCAAGGGACCTTGTCTATGCCTTCTGGAAGACCTCATCTTCCAACAGCTGGTGGGTCATGGCAACAGTTGCTGCTTACGAAAGATGTGGATAACAACAGCATGGTTACGAAATGTTACGACAGTTCCTGTTTCCACCGGAGAGAGGAATGTTCACCCTGAAGCTTGCTGCTGTATATTTATACCCTACACCTTAATGAAGTGTGCCTCATTCAGCTGTCAGTGTGACTACAGTGCTACACTCGGAGTGGGGAGTGGGGAGTGGGGAGGATCCGGTTTGAAAGAGGCCCAAAGTTTTATATGTATATGTATTTATATGAGGGTCCTGAAATTGGAACACCTTAATGGAATGTGGCCACTATAAACGTTATTAATTACACCTGCAACCTGTAATACAGTCTGTTATGATGGTCTATTGACGGTGTAACTGAGAGCATTAGTAGGGGTCCAAATGAGCTAAAGCAGCTTACAGTAAAATGTAGGTGTTACAGTGAGCACTGGATACATACAAAAACGTGGACCTGCTGGTGGTACTCAGAAAAAGTCAGTAAAAAGAACCTTGTATACCCTCTCTCCATTATATGTCAATATATCTCACTATAGTTGTTGAGATTTTTCATTCTGGGATTTATTAGGCTTCTGGGCCAGTCCGGACGTATTTTAATGGATTGGTATAGGCAAAAATAAAGCAGATCAAAATGCTTCTTTATTGTACTCTACTGCGTTTGTCCACCTCACCTCCACTTTATCACAGATGGCTTCTACAGTGTGAGCGTTCCACTGCATATCACAAGGAAAATGAAGAGTGTGTAAATATATTTTATTATTAGACCGCCCCAGTGGCAGATCACATTAGCTGTCACTAATTCACTTTAATTCTGCTGAGTACCAAAGTAAATAAAAGTAACTGGTCTGGTTAAAGTGCTCTTTGTAATGTCCCTCAGCAGCTTCTGAAATACCAGTGTCAACTTTCAAAAACCCTGTAAACTATTTCATTAAAAAACAGACACGTCATTAAAAACAAGAGCATGCATCTGTACCTGTGTTGCTGCTGATGGTCTGCTGACGACACTTCTTCAAGTGGAAGCGTTTGATGGCCACCGGCTGGTCACAGTATCGAGCTCGGTAGATGATGGTCCCACTGCCACCTTGGCCAAGGATGTTACTCTCCTCCACAGAGAACTCCAGCCGGGCCCTCTCCAAAAAGAGCCTAACACACGCACACACACATACACACACAGTCAGGAAAAGGTCCCCAAATTCACACACTGTATTCACACTGCAATACCATCTATGATCACTAGGGCACGCACAAAGTAATGGAAATCAACCCTGTGGGGACCAATTTTTTCTCCTCAAAAAAACTTCACCAGGCATATAAGGAGGCTGTTTTCTATTGATTGTAATGGTCCCCATGGGCACAAGCACAAGCGGCGTGAGTGATAGGTCATGGTCCCCACCAGGACAGAAAAACAAGAACACAACCGTGCATGCGTCAGTGCCTACCTTGAGTGAGGTTGTGTTTGAGTTTTTAAATCTCAAGTTGTATTATTAGTCTCAAGTTTGAACTACATGTATTGTATATAGTTAGACTTTGTTTTATGTTATACATTTTAGATCCAAGTCCTGCTCTCAGTAACTACTGACACCAGCTGTCAAGACACTGCTGACGCCGGCTTGTTTTAAGCACTGGGACTAAGATATAAACAATGGCCTGTGAACCCTGTTTTCTTCTTAAAAAAGCACTGCTCAACTCACTCCCAGCCTCCATTTGCCGTGTTAGTCTTGCATGTTGGAGCAAATGATGTAGCTCGGGGTGCCTCTGACCTGACAAAAGGGGACTTTAACAAACTTTTTAATTTTTTAAACAGCTGTGGAAAATTTGTTTTTATTTCCGGCCCCATCCCCACACTGGGTCGCTGAACGGAACAATTTAGCAGACTTCTTTACCTCCATTCCTGGCTCCAGTCAGCCTGCAAAACTCACAGCTTTGGGGTTTTTTTTCTCAAGTATCTTTATTGAGTTGACAATGTACAGCATAGTAAATACAGCTGAAAGTGTGACTTGTCACCTAGTTTAACATTATTAAGACATACAGGAACATAGTGAACAAATCAATTCCCCACTTCCAAACTTAAGAACCATGTTTGCATACGGACAAAATGTGTGAATGAGGGAATGAAAAAAAAACAACTTACAAAATAAAAATAAATGAATAAATAAAATAAAGTAAAATAATGAAGAAGGAATATCTGCCTGCTCTGTGAACCCCACATCTTATTAAAGTTATTGGAGCAGCACCAAATACTGTATTTAATTTTCTCAAGGTATAAAAAGGACATTAAGTCGCTAAGCCAGGAGTCAGAGGGTGGAGGTTTACGATCCTTCCATTGAAGCAAAATGCGCCTACGAGCTACAAGGGATGCAAAAACTATAATATTTCTCTCCCTAAGAGTAAAGCTGTTAAAATCTCCAGGAACACCAAAAATAGACGTCAAAGTGTCAGAGATCACCGGTCTACTGAGGGCTTTTGATAATTTATCATAGAAAGAGGCCCAGAAAGAAGCCAGTTCGGGGCAGGAGGAAAACATGTGCGTATGATTGGCCGGGAATAGAGAGCATCTGTCTCACATATCGCCCGTGTTGTATAGCTTGTTAAGTTTAGCTTTGGACAGGTGTGTCCTGTGTAAAACCTTAAACTGAATCAGTGTCAGTCTAGTGCAAGATGAAGTAGAGTTAACCCTGTTGAGGGCCACCCGCCACCATTCATCTGAGAATATAGTACCATGCTCTTTTAGTAGTTTAAGTAGTCCTAGTTGCTGAGGCAGATAATAAATAAATACTTCACCGTGCCAGAAATGACTCTTCTGGCTGTAGGACATGACAAAATTATATCAATGAGAGATTCAGGTGGTTGATGGGGAAAGTTGGGGAAGTTACAGCGAACAAAGTCTCATATTTGAAAATATCTGAATAAATGGGATTGTCGCAGACCAAATCTAGTTTTAAAATATTCAAAAGAGGTAAAAACCTTTTCAGAAAAAGCTGTTTGAGATGAACCAGGCCTTTCTTTTTCCACAAGGAAAAAACTGGATCAAGAGCCGCAGGCCGAAATAGCTGGTTGTCACAGATGGGCATTAGCGGGGAGGGGGAATAGATTTCAAAGTTGCACCTAAACTGTCTCCATATCAAAGTTGACAGGGAAATTGGACTGCAACAGTCGGCTTCCAATTGACACCAGTCTGTATTGGGAAAGTTGTGCCACATATATATTTTTTGGATATTAGCCGCCCAATAGTATGCCAGACAATTAGGTAGAGCTAGACCACCATCTTCCTTAGCTCTTTGCAGAATAGAGTATTTTGTCCTCGGGGTCTTCCCTGCCCAAATAAAAGACGAAAAAACATTCCTATCCAATTCTTTAAAAAAAGATTGGGGTAGGAATACTGGTACGCATTGGAATAGAAATAAGACGTTCATTTTAATTGAATTGATTCTTCCAAGAAGTGATAAGGGGAGGCTGTTCCAACGTTGGAGATCTGATCTGACTTCCTTAACTAACTTCAATATGTTTATAAAGTGAAGAGAGACTGTAAGAGATATTAATGCCTAAATACTGAAAGCTGGAGGAGGCCAGTTTGGAATGTAGCGCTTGGTTCGGGATGTGCTTCGCAGCACTGTTTACAGGGAAACATTCACTCTTACTAATATTTAACTTGTAGCCTGAAAAGGAGCCGAATTTCTGTAAAGTATCGAGAATCTTATTAATGACGGTAGTGGGGTTCGAGACATAGAGCAAGAGATCATCAGCATAAAGCCAGACTCTGTGCTCCACCCTGTTTCTGTATATGCCAGTGAAAAGCGGTGAGTTTCTAAGAGTAATGGAGAGTGGCTCGATCGCAATGGCAAATACCATAGGTGATAAGGGGCAGCCTTGACGGCAGCCACGTGTTAGGGGGAAAAACTTAGTGTAAACTTATTGAATATTGTTAGTGGTCACGCTAGCGGTAGGGGCCATGTATAATAGTTGAATCCATTAGACATATTTTTGACTGAAACCAAATCTGTTGAGGACTGAGAATAGATAACCCCCCTCTACTCGGTCGAAGGCCTTCTCAGCATCCATAGAGATTACCATTTCAGCGTTTTGTGTGTCAGACTTAGACAGTAGTATATTGAGTAGGCGACGGATATTTGAGGATAACTGTCTGCCCTTTATGAAGCCTGTTTGGTCACTAGAAATAATGCCTGGAAGGCAGGGGTTGAGACGGCAAGCAAGGATCTTGGCCAATAACTTTATATCGGAGTTTAGCAGGCTGACAGGCCTCCAGCTGCTACATTCTACTGGGTCTTTATTTGTCTTTGGGATGAGTGAAATTGATGCTTGAATTGAAGATAAAGGAAGGGAGCCACGTGCCAAGGAGTTGTTGAACATATCTAACAACAAGGGAGCTAGTTGATTGGAAAATTTCTTTTAAAAAAATCATCTGGGAAGCCATCTGGACCAGGTGCCTTGCCGTTTTGCATCAATTTGAGACTGGCTGTGACTTCTTCTAAGCGGAGCGGAGTGTCCAGATTGGATGTGGTTGCTTCATCAATTGTGGGGTATTCTAAGTTGTCTAGGAATTCGCTGGAGAATTATCAGATGGGGCTTCAGATCTGTATAAGTTGAAGTAGTATAGGGCAAAAACATTATTTATCTCAGCTGGATCTGTGACTGTGGAGCTAGGGGTCCTGCAAACTTGATTGATGAGTCGAGAGGCAGATTGGTGCTGTTTGCAATGCTAACAGCCAGTTGGCTTTATCGCCATACTCGTAATACGTACTCTTTGTGAGCCTTAAAAGGAAATCTACCTCATTTGTAGAGATGAGATCAAACTCAGTCTGGAGTTTGAGTCTCTCCATCTGAAGAGTGGGATTACGAGATAAGGGGAGTTGCCTGTCAATTTGCAGTATTTTAACCATCAGTTCAGCTTGTCTCTGCCTTTCCTGCTTGCGTATCATTGCATTGTAAGATATAATCTCTCCACGTATTACTGCTTTAAAAGTTTTCCATAAAAGGGAAGGGGAAGTTGAATCGGACTTGTTATTTTGGATAAAGAGTGAAATCTTCTCAGACATAAATTCGCAAAACCTATTAGAGGATAATAATCCTGTGTTTAATCTCCAGTATGGGTGCTTTACACATCTAGGGAGGAAGTCTAACAGAAGAGGGGCGTGATCTGAGATAACTAGTGCAGAGTATTCGCATTATTTCACTAAAGGTAGATGTATTTTATCTAGAAAAAAATAATCAATACGAGAGTATGTCTTGTGAATGTGGGAATAGAATGAAAACCTTTTGTTGTTGGATGTTGGGAACACCACACATCAACACCCCCGAGTTGGTTTGTAAGTGTAGAAAGAGCTCTAGCCATATTGGACCGGGTTTTGTTTTTTTGGGTTTGACTTATCAAGAGCAGGGTCAGACACTAAAGTTAAGATCTCCCCCAAAAATTAGGTGCTGTGAATTCAGGGATGGAATTAATGAGAATAACAAAGTCATAAAATTAGGGCAGTCCCAGTTGGGGGCGTAGATGCAAGCCAGAATGACAGGGGTCTGAGATAACATACCCACGACTACAATATAACGTCCATTTGGGCTAGCTATAGCTGTACCTCTCAAACGGCTATTAAAGCCTGAGTGGAAAACCTGTCCATCCCAGTGCTTCCGTAGTCTGGTGTGGTCACACAGGCATAGATGGGTTTCCTGAAGGAAAGCAATGTCTGTTTGTGCACTCTTCAGACATGAGAGCACTCTTGTTCTGCGTCACCACTTTGCCGCATGCATAGTAAAGGTAAAACAGACCCTTACGTCAGTGGAACCTCGCGATTGGCCATCTTTGCCGTTACGGGCTTTCCCCATAGACTTGTACTGAGGATGTGATTTGTCTCCTCTAAATTGTCTCTGACTATACGTAGGTCTTATTTATTCTTAAAGTAGTTCTGCCTAAGCACTCACAGCCTTAGTATTGCGTTTATCTCTCTATTAGATTCAACTGGCTTTTCTCAAAGTGTTCATAAAATGGCTCACTGTTTTAACCACACCCTCGACCTTGTTTTGGTATACGGTATTGAAATTGAACATTTAATAGTGTTCCTGTATTTTTAGATAATCTGAACTAAAGGTCTTAAATTAGCCTTAGTTAGCCGTGCTGGTATCAACAACGCTAACGCTGTAGCTTGCTAAAATGCTAACCGCGATTAGCATCACAACTTTCGCAAACTGCAAGAAATTGGTATTAATATTATACCATACTATAGGATTAAATCATATTATTAAAGTCAGTTGATTAAGTTAATAGTGTCATTAGGACACGGGTCTTCAATTTAAGCCATTAGCCTTAGTCTTTTTTTTAACATTGTCCTTGGAGCTGAGCTATTCACATCTGGTGTTATAAAGCATTTAACAGAACAAAACCAGATAGGCCAGGTTTGAACACGGTCATGTCACCTAATAAGCTGACACTGCTGGTAGGTTTTGTGTTTGAGTTAAACCTATAGAGATGTCCTGTCCTTTAATTATAAATCAAATATGTCATGTAGGGAGTGTGTAGTTGCTGTTTTTAAGGACTGATTCTGGAGCAACATCAAGTAGCCTCCTCTAAAGCAGTCAGTGTTGAAAAGACTTTAAAATTCACTTTTTAAAAGGAGACGGCATCAAACTCTTGCAGATTGAGTTGAATTATAATATCCTCCTGATCTAAGTTAAGAACACAAGTCATTTCAATTCAGTCAATTTATTTATCTATTTTTATTATTTCATAGCAGGTCCATAAAGCCTCCACCTCTACCTGAAACAAGATGGCGCCGTCTATAGCTGCCTCGGTGTTAGGTGCGCTTTGTTTTGTGTTAATTTTCGGCTGTGATTCCTGGTTCTCTTTCACTAGAGAAGAGCTCATGAACATCAGGGGAACAACTCCAGCGGATTTAATGGACATTCTGGTGAAGGGCTCTCTCCTTATTGTTTGCCGAATGAAGGGCCATAAGAGCGGGAAACGAGCTGGGTCGCTCATGCGCCTCCGCCAGCGGGGACTCCTCACAGCGCTACCGGCAATATTTCTCTCCAACGTGCGCTCACTGTGCAACAAACTGGACGAACTTCGGCTACTGGTGGGGAAAAACAAGAGACTTTTATTCATCTTCTGTTCTGTGCCTCACGTGGATCAATACCGGACTCCGCGCTGCAGCTGGCTGGCTTCCAACTCTACAGAGCGGAGCTTTCCGGCAAAACAAAAGGTGGAGGTGTCTGTTTTTATATTAACAATGGCCGGTGTACTGACGTGTAAACCGTTTTACTCCCCCCGTGAGTTTGCTTCATTCACTCTGGTCGGTCTTCCGCTGTAGGCCAACATGCACAACGCATAGAGCATGCTGGCCAACCAGATACTGTGTGTGGAGCAGACAAACCCGGACTCCCTTGTTATTCTTCTTGGTGACTTTAACAAAGGAAACCTCTGCCAAGAACTCCCCAAATACAGACAGTTTATAAAGTGTCCAACCAGAGAGGGGAACACTTTGGATCACTGCTACACCACAGTTAGCAGTGCCTATCACGCCATCACTGCGCTCCACTGGGACACTCTGATCACGTCATGATCTACCTGATTCCTGCTAACCTGTAGTGAGGACATCAAAGAAATGGACCAGTGAAGCTGTAGAGGATCTTCAGGCGTGTTTGGACTGCACTGACTGGGATGTTTTCAGGACTGCTACCAACAATCTGGATGAGTTTACAGAGGCTGTGATGTCCTACATCAGTTTCTGTGAGGACAGCTGCATATCAGCGCGCACCAGGGTGAGTTATAACAATGACAAACCCTGGTTCACAGCTAAGCTCAGACAGTTGAGGCTGGAAAAGGAAGAGGCGTTTAGGAGTGGAGACCGGGCCAGGTTTAAGGAGTCAAAGTACAGGTTTAGCAAGGCGGTGCAAGATGCTATTGTAGTGTCTCAGCTATACGCAGAGACACTACAACAACATTCAAGGAATGACTCTGCTTCTGTCTGGAGAGGCTTCAGACAGATCACCAGCTACAAACCTAAATTCCCCCACTCCATGAACGACTCACGCCTTGCCAACGAGTTGAACCAGTTTTACTGTCGCTCCGAAAGACATTGGGACAGACCTGACACCATCCCCGGTCACACCACTGACCGGCCCCAGTCCACCATCTCATCCCCCACCTCCTCCCCCTCTCTTACCATCCTAGAGGAGACGGGTATGGCTGCAGCTTGGAGCCTCCCGTCTCATGCCTTCTCATCTCATGCCCTCCCGCCTGGGACTGTCATGCTAATTATAGTGCTATTATAATGCTCTTCCAGCAATCTGGTAGAAAGATTGTTTTAAACGTAGTTTCAAGTGTCAAAGCAAGTAGGCAAGTCACTTGTTGCTAACAAAAAAGACAAAAACAAATCTAAACACTGTATGAGAGCAGATTAAGAGCATGATTTTGTTCTGCATGAGACGGAGGCTCCTGGCTGTAGCCATACAGTCTTGTCCTAGAGACGGACGTCAACAGACTGTTCAGGAGGCAGAAACTCTGCAAAGCAGCTGGGCCGGACTCTCCCCATACACCCTGAAGCACTGTGCTGGTCAGCTGTCTCTGGTGTTCACAGACATTTTTAACACCTCACTGTAGTCATGCCATGTGCCAGCCTGCTTCAAAGCCTCCACCATAATCCCTGTCCCCAAAAAACCAAGGACCACAGGACTAAACGACTACAGACCCGTCACCCTGACCTCTGTGGTTATGAAGTCCTTTGAGCGCCTTGTTTTGTCCCACCTAAAATCCATCACTGACCCACTCCTGGACCCCCTGCAGTTCGCCTACAGAGCCAACAGGTCTGTAGATGATGCAGTAAACATGGCCCTTCACTACATCCTCCAGCACCTGGACTCCCCAGGAACCTACGCCAGGATCCTGTTTGTGGATTTCAGCTCTGCTTTTAACATCATCATCCCGGCCCTGCCGCAGGACAAGCTCTCCCAGCTGAGCGTGCCTGACTCCACCTGCAGGTGGATCCCAGACTTCCTGACGGACAGGAAGCAGCACGTGAAGCTGGGAAAACACGTCTCTGATTCCAGGACCATCAGCACCGGTTCCCCTCAAGGCTGCGTTCTTTCCCCCCTTCTCTTCTCCCTGTACACCAACAGCTGCACCCCCAGTCACCAGTCTGTCAAGCTCCTGAAGTTTGCGGACGACACCACCCTCATTGGGCTCATCTCTGGTGGGGATGAGTCCGCCTACAGGTGGGAGATCGACCATCTGGTGACCTGGTGCAGCCAGAACAGTCTGGAGCTCAACGCTCTGAAGACAGTGGAGATGGTCATGGACTTTAGAAAGAGCCCAGCCCCCAGCCTTTTATTATTATTTTAATTTTTTTATATTGTCAGCTGAATTATTTTTCTCTGTTCTTCTGTTCTTCTTATATAACTTGAATTTGTTTATTACCTATTTATATATTTCTACATCTATTTATGTCAGCTGTCTGTCTGTCTGCGTGTAGCACCTTAACACCAAAGCAAATTCCTTGTATGTGTCAAACACTACTTGGCAATAAAGCTCCTTCTCATTCTGATTCTACCTCCATCATTGGTGTCATCCAAGAAGCTGACAATGCTGGTAAGTTTAGGCCTACATCAACAATAACTAAACAATTATTCACCTTTAGCAACACTCAGTGTATGAACATGTCAATTTATTAAAATTAATAATTTTCTTTGTAAATTTTCCTCATAGGTCTACCTGTGCCTACTGAAGTGGAGAGCAGTGGATCCAGCTGACTGGACTTCAGGCTTCCTTAATGACCAGTTACACGTTGACAGAGACATTTAGACTTTTCCAAAAAGACAATCAGACAGTAAAAGCTGAAAGTTGAATAGGTCCCCCGAAGGCCTAGGGCCGGTTCTGCCTAAAGTCCAAACATTTAGATGCAACATTACTGCTGCAGTTTGAGCTGACATTTGATTTCTCAATATTGGCACACGTCAGCTGATAAGTAACAAGACTTGAAGAGGTATATTGAGGTAATGAAGATTAGCCTTTTTATCAGATTTTTTAACACTCAGATGTGCAGTAGCTTTGTTGACTAGTGTTATCATAACTGATAAGATGATGAGATGATGAGAAATAATGTCTAAAACTATTAGGTTAACTATTAAGTTGTGCTGAACTGGAACTTATTTTGAAATATTTGGTACAGCATGCAGCCCTGGCAGAGGTATGTGCTCCCTGAATTCTTAAATGCATTGTTCATTAGATAGTGAGGCCTTGTGGAGGGAGCTATAGCAGATTAGTGTGACTGCTTGGGATTTGAAAGATTTCGTATGTATTGTTCTTAAAATTGGATTTACTTGTGAAAAATGTATCTTCTTAAATACCTTGAATGGCATAATGTAACAGGGCAAGTAGGCATACTTGTCATGTTACATATTACGTTTGTTACTGTGTGTACTTTACAGTACCATTAATGCTTGTCCCCCTTCTACCATTATACCTGTCCTGATCGTGCCTTCCATCTATATCCAACGTTCTCTGATATTAAGTCAAGAGACAACAGTCAGGCCCAACACAGAACGCTTCCACAAGTTTCAGTTTGTAAAATGAAAGGGTCCATTAAATGGTTAGAGGTTACCGTGCAGGGAAGTCAGTCATGAAGAGTTCTGGGACCAGCTCTTGGAGGGTGACTGGGTGGTCAGGGTGCCGAGGACAGATGATGTACTCCTTCTCCACTGCAGCCAGCACACAGTCCTCCATGTTAAAGTAATGAACCCCTGCATCTCCTCCTCCTCCGTCATCTACCCCACATCCTCCTTCCTCTTTGACCTTTCCTGGCCGGCCATCTAGGGGCTCTGCCTGCTCCTGTTGGCCCAGTGAGGAACAGAGGGGACAGGGGGCGTACTGCTCTATGAGAAGACTCCCATCGCTCTCACTGGCCGTCAAAGCTACAAGAAAGGACACATAAGCAGAAGACATGTACGTGACCTGTTGACTTGTTGTACAACAGACTGGTACACGGAGCTGGGTAGAGCCTGACCGATTTATCGGCCGATATGACCTAACTGCATTTATATCGCATCTGTGTTTAGATGCGGTTATGAAAAAATTATTTTATATTAAAAAAGAAACAGAGAGACAGATCCTTCACTCATGTCATGAGTGTTGTGTTGTGATAGTTTTTGCTCTGCAGCTCCCCTGTTCAAAATACTGCCACATCACAAAAAACACAAAAGAAATCAGCTGACGGGAGTTTACTGGAGCAACATGTAGAAACAATGAAAGTGGCTGTGTTACTGTGTTACCGTGTTACCAGTGAGTTCGTCATTTGTCACATTAAGCACACTGTACAGTGCGCTCCATGTGACAGACCAACACACCCCCTCCACGGATGCTCATTCTCACTCTTTGTTGACAGCTTCACAATTATGCGCCGCTTCCAATGTTAGCTCCCCCTACCGGCCTCTCTTGATTCTCACCGCGACAAACTGTTGTTCTAAGCACCGTGATGTTCATAATATTCAGGTTATTATCTCCGGTAGGGAGTGCAGGGCAAATAATGTTTGTCAGAGCAACACCATATTGATAATCTTAACCAAGATAAAAAAAATATAAAGATGGCTCTGTTAAACATAAGGGCACTTACTTACTAACAATACTAAGGATATTAAGGATCTTAGACTTAGACTTTATTTTCTTAACAGAAACCTGGCTTGGCTCCGATGGTGCTTCGCTTTTATCCAAGGCATCTCCTCCTTATTACAACTTTATTCACACTATACGGGATAGGAAGAGAGGAGGAGGGCTGGTTGCATTTTTTTCCACATACTTTCAAATGTAAGCATTTACAACTTGGCAGTTTCTCATCTTTTGAATATCAGGCAATCTTACTCAATAACGATTCTTCTTCCATCCTACTAATCACCATCCATTGGCCGCCCAAGCACACAGCTTAATTTACACCTGAAATATCAGAACTACTGTCAATCTGTTTTATTAATTATGACAGAATTCTTATCCCTGGGGACCTGAATTTGCACGTTGACAATGTCTCTGATAGCAAAGCTAAGGACTTTTTACAGCTTTTTCTTTCCTTTGTTTTTAGTCAGCATGTCGTTGGGCCAACACACAAATGTGGCCACACCTTAGGTTTAGTAATGTCCAGAGGACTGAACCAAGCTTAGTATCGTTAACGAAGACAAACGAAACTAAAATGAAAGAGTAAAAGTTTTCGTTTATTTATATATTTATTTAATAGGACCTAATAAGCCTACATTTCGAGTGGTTATGATACTGGTTGAACTGACGTTGCGGGGCAGTTGGTCTGGCTGGACCTAGGGGCCGGACAGGCAGTTCAGCAGTGCGCGCGGTGACTAGCCGATAGGCACCTGTTGGTGAACCTTTGCTCTGGGTTAACGTGTCTGCTGGTCATTATATTTACAGCATGTCAGCTAGTGTGTGTTTTATGGGCTCATTTATATCTCAGCCAAACTGTCTCTTTGTGTTTCACATTGTTTTAATGACAATTTTTTGATTAATTAAGTTTTAGATTTTATTATAACTAGGAACCTGTTGTTTGTGACTCCAAAGGGGGCCTCCAAGGGGGGGCCTCCTCTATCTTCCAATTTCTTAGCTGTCCATCACCTCCATTTATTGTATTTCACCTATTTAACCATGAATGATAGAGCTACTGACTGATGTAATGAATTTCTTGGGTCCACTGGGCAGTAGGATTAGGGTAGTTTGATTTTAGGGTTTTCTGTATGTAGGTTAGAAATTATACTGTAGATTGCAAGTGCTTCATTTATCTTGTGTTTCATTTATCTTTGGCTTCTCCTCTTCTCGAAAACAAATGGAGCAGCTGATTACAGCAGGTAATAAAGCATTAAAAATTACATTCCTCCAATGCTCAGATGTCACAGTATTGAAGAAATCATGCAGTCCTCACTTAGGCTACGTTCAGACTGCAGGCCTTAATGCTCATTTTTTTTGTTTGACAGTTCACATTATTGCTTAAATGTGGCACATATTAGACTACAGTGTTTACTGTCCGGCAGAGATGGGGACTCGAGTTTGAGACTCGGACTCTGACTTAAGTCGCACCCACAGTGACTTCAGGCTCAACTTGAGACTCTCAACTGAGCTCGCTGTTATTCCCCTCCCTGCGTTACATATAACCTGCCAACTTAACACATACTACATATCTGCTGTGCAAGGCCACCTGTGAGAGAGGACAACAAGCAGCGGCAGCTGCTGAGCCATACAGCAAGACTCAAACAAAGAAGCGCTGAACCCAAAATACGTTAGTAACCTGAGGTTAGTAAACATGTTTAGCTCAGCGTTGGCCATCTAATGTTAGCTTTCTTCTTGCTCTAGCTATGACCTACCAGAGATTAACTCCGACTATCGTTCGTTATGAAAAGATGAGTGAGCGTTTGTTTACTTGCCAAACTTGTGGTGGTCAATTAACGTAATCACTTACTGGCTGTCATCCCATTAATTATTAACTTTGGCTGGTAACTTTGGCCATGGGAGTGGACTACTGCAAAAAAGGCGTATAACGTCCAATTGCATGAACACGTGGATGCATGTTTGTGGCAGATATTGCAAATTCACACTTATTTAAAAAACAAACAGCTATACAAATACTTAAACAACTTATACAATACAGAATGAATTTAACAAAACAATGATTTAAGTGAGAAAATATCTGATCAAAGACAATAGGTAACACGACTAGGGTTATTGTGTCCACATAAACAGACAGCAGTGCACTGACCAGGGAACCACTGCTCAATCAGAGAGTTGACGTGGTCTGTGATGAAGGCCATGGCAGAGAAATCTCTCATCTCCGACTGGCAGATTATCTTTATGCCTCCGCTCTTCCTCCTCTTCCAGTTGACATCGGATGACTCCACGCTGCAGAGATACAAACATGTCACGGCCTCATTTCACTGAAAGTTCCATTAGTTTTCACCAACTCCCGATTCGACCTATACACAGCAGCTGACGTGGGGCAGCAGGTACCAGGCACGGAGAGGCAGTTCAACATTGATTTTCTCTTCCCTTTTATTAGCTGCATTTATATTAGATTTTCTTAACACTAGAGATATTTTATCATTAGTGCAATAGTATGTTGTTCAAATTTTTCAACTTGAGCATGAAATGTGTCGCAATAGCCTATCAGCAACGGCTTTTCGGAGTGTCGTGTGTTGAGGACAGGGTCACCAGGCAGAGGGGAGGGACAGAGTCTCTGCTCGCCGACAAACAGCTGCAGAGCTACAGGGAGCTCTGGAAGAGGTGGCTTTAGACAAATAAACACCTGCAGTCTGACTGGATTCTGTTCTGATAACCGAGCCGTTTAATGGCAGGAGGAGTTCAGAGAACAGAAGTAAGTGAGGAAGGTACGGGGTATGTTCTGAAAATATATGTCTGTTACTTGATTCCAGCTTTTGCTGTACTTTACGGCGAAAGAAGTTAGCATAGCATAGCCCTTATCGATTTGAACTCCATTCGGAAAACTAGCATTTTTTTTCTTCTTGCTCACAGACCTGACAAAGCATGACTTAATATTTTTAACACATCGGTATCATTGTGTAGTAATTTCAGCATTAGTTTGATCCGTTTATTGCGACTAAATCCCAGCAAAATGTTTATTTTGGGTTCATACAGCTCTAGTAATGGTGTGAACAGTCGTGTGAGTAGTCCAGCGGTCGGACTTATGTGATAAACGCAATGTAAATTTAAAACTTGCGTTGTTTGTGAAACTGTCATAAGACTGCAACGAAAGAAATGGGAGATGAACATTACTGGAGCACAATCTCTATATTATACTTTATGAATACTTATTACTCATTATGAAAATACTTCAGATTGAAAATGAAGGTAAATGTAATGATATTGAATTTCAGCGGGCTGAGACATTCAGGCACACAGTATCATGTTTGGTGCATATTCTGAACAAATATATATATATACAGTGGGTACGGAAAGTATTCAGACCCCTTTAAATTTTTCACTCTTTGTTTCATTGCAGCCATTTTCCAAAAATCAAAAAAGTTCATTTTATTTCTCAGTAATGTACACTCAGCACCCCATCTTGACAGAGAAAAACTGAAATGTAGAAATTTTTGCAAATTTATTAAAAAAGAAAAACTGAAATATCACATGGTCATAAGTATTCAGACCCTTTGCTCAGTATTTAGTAGAAGCACCCTTTTGATCTAATACAGCCATGAGTCGTTTTGGGAAAGATGCAACAAGTTTTTCACATCTGGATTTGGGTATCCTCTGCCATTCCTCCTTGCAGATCCTCTCCAGTTCTGTCAGGTTGGATGGTAAACGTTGGTGGACAGCCATTTTCAGGTCTCTCCAGAGATGCTCAATTGGGTTTAAGTCAGGGCTCTGGCTGGGCCATTCAAGAACAGCCACGGAGTTGTTGTGAAGCCACTCCTTCGTTATTTTAGCGGTGTGCTTAGGGTCATTGTCTTGTTGGAAGGTAAACCTTCGGCCCAGTCTGAGGTCCAGAGCACTCTGGAAAAGGTTTTCGTCCAGGATATCCCTGTACTTGGCCGCATTCATCTTTCCCTCGATTGCAACCAGTCGTCCTGTCCCTGCAGCTGAAAAACACCCCCACAGCATGATGCTGCCACCACCATGCTTCACTGTTGAGACTGTATTGGACAGGTGATGAGCAGTGCCTGGTGTTCTCCACACATACCGCTTAGAATTAAGGCCAAAAAGTTCTATCTTGGTCTCATCAGACCAGAGGATCTTATTTATCACCATCTTGGAGTCCTTCAGGTGTTTTTTAGCAAACTCCATGCGGGCTTTCATGCGTCTTGCACTGAGGAGAGGCTTCCGTCGGGCCACTCTGCCATAAAGCCCCGACTGGTGGATTGCTGCAGTGATGGTTGACTTACTACAACTTTCTCCCATCTCCCGACTGCATCTCTGGAGCTCCGCCACAGTGACCTTTGAGTTCTTCTTTACCTCTCTCACCAAGGCTCTTCTCCCCCGATAGCTCAGTTTGGCCGGACGGCCAGCTCTAGGAAGGGTTCTGGTCGTCCCAAACGTCTTCCATTAGAGGATTATGGAGGCCACTGTGCTCTTTGGAACCTTAAGTGCAGCAGAAATTTTTTTGTAACCTTGGCCAGATCTGTGCCTTGCCACAATTCTGTCTCTGAGCTCTTCAGGCAGTTCCTTTGACCTCATGATTCTCATTTGCTCTGACATGCACTGTGAGCTGTAAGGTCTTATATAGACAGGTGTGTGGCTTTCCTAATCAAGTCCAATCAGTATAATCAAACACAGCTGGACTCAAATGAAGGTGTAGAACCATCTCAAGGATGATCAGAAGAAATAGACAGCACCTGAGTTAAATATGAGTGTCACGGCAAAGGGTCTGAATACTTATGACCATGTGATATTTCAGTTTTTCTTTTTAATAAATTTGCAAAAATTTCTACATTTCTGTTTTTTTCTGTCAAGATGGGGTGCTGAGTGTACATTACTGAGAAATAAAATGAACTTTTTTGATTTTTGGAAAATGGCTGCAATGAAACAAAGAGTGAAAAATTTAAAGGGGTCTGAATACTTTCCGTACCCACTGTATATATATATATATATATATATATATATATATATATATATATAGTTCTTAATGTTCCAGATCTTCTAAATAAAAAGACCACTTTTGTCAGGAATCCCCTGGAATTTATGAACCTACCCACTTCTTGTGAACTGGTATGCCATTGAAGTTGATTGAATACTAACTCCAGCGTGCTGTTTGCTACGATAGGTTTCTGACCAAGTCTGCTTATAAGGATTAGGACCTGGCTTCTTCCTGATGCCCCATCCACATTACTATGTTTTCATTTTAAAAACATAGACCTTTTGCTACGTTTGCACCTCCCGTCCAGACTAAAATGGCAAATCCTGAAGACCTGAAACAGAGAAGTTTAAAAATGCTGCCGACCCCGTTTCCGTTTGAAAACTGTGGTAGCATTTTAGTGCAGACGGGCAAAAACGGAGGACTTTAAAAATGATGCTCACGTTTGGCAAAAATGTCTTATGTGGTGTGGACGGAGATCATATTTGTTTTAAAACTGTTTTTAAAAAAACGTAGTGGTGTGTATGTAGCCTGAATCTAACTGAAGCTCCACATCCTTAACTTTCTCACACTAAGCACTTCTATCATTTAAATTACTGCCCACACCCATAGCCCCAGCTCTGACCTGAGATATCCTCCATCGAAAGTGACCAGCAGCCCCTCCTTCCAGTAGATTGTCTGGCTTCGTCTGACCCTAAAGGTGCTGCAACGATTCCTCTGCTGGCTGCCAGCAAAGCTGTAGATCACAGAGTTCCTGCTGTGCCGGTCCCTGCTGTTTCGTTTGGGCTCAAATGACTGCACAAACAAAACATTTTTAGGCCATGAATGGTGAAAAGCTGAAAGTGTGGAAGTACAGTAGGTGACCAATCTGCTGGTTTCAGTACCTGCAGGTCCATCTCTGTGAGGCTGATGAGCATCCTGGCAATGAAGCGCTCCCAAAAACCAGCAGGAACAAAGCTCATCTTAACGAGGCGCTGTAGAGTGTTGCTGGTCTGCTGGCGGAAGCCATGGATGTCCATGGCTGGCTTGGGGGGAAGGAGGTGGGGCAGCAGATAGCTACAGCAAGAGGAAAGGAAAAAATTTAAACACATTTAAAAGTAGAAAATACTTGAAGAAACTTGAGGTATGCTTGCTGCTTGGCAGATTGATTTGGATTTTTTAAGCGGCGGCTTAATCAGAATCAGAAATACTTTATTGATCCCAGAGGGGAAATTCTTTGTCACAATTGCACACTTGTCAAAGGTAGATAGATAAAGAGTATATAAATATAATAGTATAAATATAAAAAAATAAAGACAAATATAAGGTGTGTGGGTATGTACAATATTTACATTATTAAGAATTATTATGATGAACCAAAAATGAATAGTGAATGAAAAGCAGCAGAGAATATTGCACATTAATTATTAGACAGGTAATATTGGACAGAAAATAGATAATGAGATAATAGATAATAACTTTAATAACTGACTAAGTGTCAGACACTTAGATGGAGGAGTTATAAAGCTTGATGACCACAGGCAGGAATGACTTCCTGTGGCGATCAGTGGTGCATTTTGGGGGAATGAGTCTTGCACTGAAAGTGCTCCTGTGTTTGAGCAACACATCATGGAGTGGGAGACATTGTCCAAGATGACATGTAGTTTGGACAGCATCACAACCTGTTGAGACAGCTAATTGTTAGGTATGTAGTATATGAATGCTTTGTAGTTGATAAGGTGTTTGAAGAGTTTCCTATGTGGCAGCTAGTTGGTTGTTAAGTGTTTGGTAGGGTGATAACTTCAAGGCAAGTGCCACGGTGTTTGTTCCAGGCATTTTCTAGGGTTTTTGCTGGGGCACCAGGCTAGACAGTTGTTATGGTGTTATCGGTAGTTGTCTGACTATTGCTGGCAGAGAATCACCATTTGTATCGATTGAGTATCAGTGAGTTTATAGAAACATTTTACCTTTTGTTGCCCACAGGAAGCGCAATCTCAAACTTGGCTAGAAACTGGAAATACTGTTCCTCTGTCTGCTGGGTGAACCCTGTTCCTACTAACAGCATCTGCACACAGACATCATTACTACACATCACCACAGGAAGCCGGTATCATCTAAACACACAGAGCCAAAACCTTTTTTTAAATTAAAGCTGCTTGAAGAATGTTCTCACCCTGAGGTCTTCAGCTCGGATCACGCCATTCCTGGCTACTGAGCGAGAGGACTTAAGGTGCATGATCCTCTCCAGGCATTCTGAAAGCCACACAGGACACATGAAGTAGAGGGTACACAGGCCATGGCTGGTGTCAGGGAAGTGCAGCAGAGTCCCCGTCTCTATTAAGAAGCTGATGGCTGGATGTGGTTTGCAAAAAAAAGAGGAGAGCCATAAGCATTATGTTCCATTTTGAATGATGTAGTGAAGGTGGGTGGGTGGTTTTAAGGTGCTGTAAAGAGCAGTCATATGCAAATTAAAATAAAGAACTAATGTCCAGTGTTGCTGATCTATGGCGTTTTTCCATTACCAGTACCAGCTCAACGTGCCTCGGCTCGACTTGGCCGTGCGCCGTTTTCCATTGCAGATAGTACCCAGAGATAGTACCCCTCAATGTAGCTGGTCTTCATAGCGACGCCACACACAACTGCCCCAACATAAGGTTCAATGTGACACACACACACAGCTTTCTCTTTTTTAAGTTAAAACGTTTCAACCTTCCTCAGAATGTAAAGACAGATAAGCGGTATGAAAACCTTCCAGCTGTGTTTTCCTCTGCCGTTGTTGCTGCAGCGGTCTGTGTGACGGCGGGAGCAGAGGGCACGCTGGACACGCTCCTCCCGCGGGTTGGCGCAGGCTTCCCCCGCAGCCACTTGCAGAGCTCCTCAACTCCGAAAATATTCAAGCACATTTTTGTTCCGCCATCACTTCTCGTAAAACTGTCAATATTGGAAATCTCATCTCAAAACAAAAAGTGGATTTAGTGATGAAATAAGGAAAATTTTAAAATTTTAAACTTTCTGCTGCTGGCCTCTGTCAGCATGCAATGATGACGCAGTGAATAGTGACGATTCTCTCTGACCAATCAGTAGCCTGCTGTGTTTTCACATCATATTTTAGTATTGTCTCAGGTCGCTTGTGATGATACAGTGATACGAAAAAAAGACCTGGAAGCAGGTACAGGTACAACTTTTCCACAAACCAAAGTGAGGCAAAGCGAGGTGAGGTGAGGCGAGGTGACGTGAGGCGGTACCGTGCAGTAGAAAAGGGGCTATAGACAGTAGCCAATCACCTAAACCTCCTTCTTGGATCAGAATGCGCACACACGGCACATTTACAAGCTTGCTTTGGAACTCAACAATAAGTATTTATTTTTATTTTTGTATTACACAACCACTAACAAAGAATACAGGTTAATTAGGACTATGTGCCAGAGATCACTAATCACGGAGTATGTGCGAACTCTGATCAACATTCCCATGCATGCTGCATGGGTCTCCTGCCAACATTTGTCAATATTTACTTCTAATATAATAATAATAATATAATAATAATAATAATCCTTATTTGTAGAGTACTTTTCAAAAACAAGTTACAAAGTGCTTTAACAAGTGTGAAGAATAATACAAAAAACAATAATACAAAAACAATACAAGATAAGAGCATGAAAACATTGAAAAGACTAAAATACAGATTAATATAAAATTAGTAAAATAGAATAAAATAAAAGGGATAAAATAAAGTCAAATAAGATCGGGAAAAGCTCTCCTATAAAAGTATGTTTTAAGAAGGGACTTAAAAGAGTTCACTGACTCAGCCGACCTGATTTCCTCGGGCAGGCTGTTCCAGAGCCTCGGGGCCCTGACAGCAAACGCTCTGTCCCCTTTAGTTTTCAGTCGAGACTCTGGAACAGACAACAGACCTCTGCCCGAGGATCTCAAGGTACGTGCTGGTGCGTATGGGACTAAAAGTTCAGAAATATAACAAAGCGAGAGGCCATGAAGAGCTTTAAAAGTGATCAATAGAATTTTAAAGTCAATTCTAAAACACACTGGGAGCCAGTGTAATGAAGCTAAAATAGGAGTAATGTGGTCATATTTCTTTGTTCTGGTTAAAAGCCTGGCAGCTGAGCTCTGGACAGTCTGGAGTCGATTGATAGATTTTTGGGTTAATTAATTAATTGCTATTATTTTGACTGGTGGTATTGGAGGGAACAATGATTCTTACATCATTATTCTCATTTTCCCTGCAAAACATGATTATGATGTGATTTTTTTTTATTTTATGGATTTTGAACAAAGATGTTTTCTCTGTAAAATATGATGTGTGGGCCAGGACATGCAGGATTACACTATTTAATTTAAAATGGAATTTTTGACTCCACTATCACCTGTAAATATTGCGCCTGATTTGAAAATTGCAGTAGGCCAAAATTTGAATGAACTGTTCAGCCCTCTGATGTCATCAATATGCAAATCAGCATATGCCATAATCTGGTGCCTTTTAACAACTTTTGGAACTAGTGCTAGCTACTTTAATGGAACAGTGCTCTCAGGGCCAATCAGTAGCAAACACAGTGCTGTCTACAGGTTTTGTGGTAGCTCACCAAGGTAAACAGGAAGCTTTCTCAAATTAATACTGTCAATCCACTTTACAAGGAAATGCTACTAGTTAGTTGTTTGAAAAGTCAAACAAAAGTCACAGTACCGGTCTGCAGGTCCTCATAGTCCCTGATGTCACTTCCTGGGTTTTGTTCAATGAGACGGTCCAGTTGGGCATCAGTTAGGTATTGGACCTCTCCCTCAGCATTTCTCCTCTGCTTCTCTGCTACCACTGCTTCCTGTAGCGTCAGGTAGCTCTTGGGGATCTGGTGGAGGAGACGAAGGTAAAAATCTCTCTATGCTTTAGAATAACATTTTTAGTACTTGAACATTTTGACAGGCTCATGATTTAAACTAAGAATCTTTTGGCCAAATACATTAAAATAAATGCATCCTTGTTCAAAAGGGACACCACCCCTGCTCCCAGGGGAAAATACAAAATAATCAAATGAATTCAACTAATGAGTCTTATTACTTGACTCATAATATCCTCTACACTGATCCTAGTCTCTGTTTTGGATAAATACTCAGATAAAAATGTTATGGTGGCAACATGCACCATGAAGACGGCGCCACAGATGGCCGTCTCTGGATTATGCTCCGTAGTGCTTTTTGTGTTTTTGTTTATATATTCTGTTTTCTGCCGTCCCTCTCTGGTAACTTTACCAGAGAAGAGCTCTTAAATATTGGACTTTCAACTGCTAACACTATTCCACCACTCTTTATCAAACCTGGAACTTTCTCTGAGTTATAAGTTGGAGGAGCAGCAGCTCTGTTTGGGATCTACCGGAGACGCCACAGGGGAAGTTTTCTATCTCACCAACCTGTTCCAGCTTCTCCCCTCTGGTAGGCGCTACAGAGCACTGTACGCCAAAACCAACAGACTCAGAAACAGTTTCTTCCCACAAGCCATCACTCTGATGAACAGCTGATTTCTGACTCAGTGTGTCAGGAACAATTCCTGTGCAATTACCCAGTAACTCTGTCTCTAATCAGCCAGCTGTTTACTGGTTTCCACTTTTTTATTCACCATTCTCTATTTCAGAGCTCTTCCTACTGTCATATTGTCATTTTGTAGATACTGTATACCTAATCTACCTATCTCAACTTCATAACACCTGCACATAATACTTATACATTCCAGCATCTTTAGCACTATGCTCCATCGCACTCTTTACACGTGTACATGTATGCATGTATGTGTGTGTGTACATGTCTATCACATACACCTAAAACATGTACATAATCATAATAATAATAATAATGATAATATTGTTTCTGTTTATTCAGTTTATAGTTTCTATATATGTGTTCTTTATACTGTAGCCTATGTCTGATTTTATTATTGTATGAGTAAGCACACATATGAGTACACATAAGAGGAACGAGTTTGCCCGTGGCGTATCATCAAAAATTCGTGTGTCGCCATGAAACAGGAATTTATTATAACTTCAGTACACATGCTCACATCTGCACCAAATTTGATATGTATAATAAGAGTCCCGCCCTGAACATATCCATATGCCAATATTCACTCAAAGTCATAGTGCCACCTGCTGGCAACAGGAAGTGACACGATTTACGCTGTAATGTACTACTCCTAGCAGGTTGGACGTATCAACGTCAAAACTGTCCTGAATACCCTTCACACATTGAGGAGGCCATGTTGTAAAACTTGTGAACTCTCTGTTAACGGCGTGCCGGTGGTATGGCAGCGAAGTCCCACGCTTCGCCATTACACAGGAAGTTGTTGTAACTTGACTATACAAGCTCAGATCTGTACCAAATTTTACATGTTTAATAGCAATCCCGCCCTGAACACATGTACACGCAAAACATTTACCTATAGTCATAACGCCACCTACTGGCAACAGGATGTGACCTTCAACGAAGCAGCCCCCGCAGCACATTTTACCTACATATACAAAATTTCTGTGACACATGTATCATGTCCCGACGTACCAAATATCCTCTTGGAGCGATGCCCTAAACCCAACAGGAAGTCAGCCATTTTGAATTTTATGGTAATTTTTGGATGATTTACACTCTCCATACTTTAACAAACTCCTCTTAGAGAATTAGTCTGACAACTTCAGATTTTTGCTGTTTAGTCTAATCCCACTGATAATTATAAGATGTACAAATGATGAGTTTTTGTGAAACGGCGTGGCGTCCCAAATCAATGAATCGCCATGAAAGAGGAAGTTGTTGTAACTTCAGTGTACATGCTCACATCTGCACCAAACTTTACATGCTTGATAACAGTCATGCCCCGAACACATCTACATGCCAACATTCAGTTATAGTCATAGCGCCATGTGCTATGTAGCGCCACAAATGCGACACAGGAAGTGATGATTCAACACATTTGTGAAGCGTCCGAAGCGCATGGCAAATTCACAGCCTCACTGGCAGAGCTCCAGAATACCACTTTCTCGCTTGGTCGCTCTCTAAATTTGAATAAAATTTAATATTTTGCTGACCTTATGGTATGATAGTAACATGCGCTTTACTAAAAGTATGCTCTGTGTGGGGAGCACACTGCCTCATGTATCGATGTAAAAACATTTCATAGTACCAGCTTGAGAAATATGAAGATTTGCAGCCTTTCTTTCTGCTGTTACAGCTAAAATGGCCAACGATAAGTGTCTGTGTTAAGTGATAACTGTTTGCCAACACTGTTCAACAGATTCAATTAAAAAATGTCATTTACGCCAGCGTCACCCAAATGTGTCAAATAGCGGAACAAGACACAAACAGAGTGGGAGGCAAGTCCGTCTCTCCACAGATTCAGACCATGCCAAAATAATAACTAATACTACAGGAGTGTTTATCGCTGCGGATATGCAACTATTCTCGGTGGTAGAGAATACAGAATTTAAATATACAGTCAAAGCTCTTGAGCCACTCTCCAATGTGCCTTCAAAATGTGCATTTTATTTAGACTGCACTGTATAAATCTGCGTAGTTGAATTATCAGCCGGTCAGAGTCTTGTGGTCATGGCCATACGGCCAGTATTTGATTACCTTAACTTTTACAGTAAGAATTATGAAAATAAAAAATGAATGACTTGAATTGATTTCCCAGCTGTTCCAGAAATATACTGACCCTACAACTAAGGTAACAAACCATGAATTTTGTGTACCGTTACGCCCCTAATACATACACACCCTTACTGTATATATACACATACATATAAGATAAACATTTCATTATATACATCTATATATAAGAATAAACATTTTATATTTAATAAAAATATAAATATATTATACTACTAACGGAGGACTCCTATGCTAATTTCAGTCCCTCCCAAATCGATCATCTTGTTGATAGTGCTGCAGGCTCGCTGCGAATGACACTCAACTCTGTAGCCCCTCTAAAAAAGAAAATAACAAAACAAAGACGGTTAGCTCCATGGTATAATACTGAAACTCGCAAATTAAAGCAAATATCGCGGAAACTTGAGAGGAATGGGCGTTCCACCAAACTGGAAAATTCTCGTTGGCAAGATAGTCTTAAAACTTATAGGAAGGCCCTCCGTAATGCCAGAGCAGCGTACTACTCATCATTAATAGAGGAAAATAGGAACAACCCCAGGTTTCTTTTCAGCACTGTAGCCAGGCTGACAGAGAGTCACAGCTCTATTGAGCCAAGTATTCCCATAGCTCTCATTAGTTACGACTTCATGAGCTTCTTTAATGATAAAATTCTAACTATTAGAAACAAAATTCACCAAGACCTGCCCTCAACTGGCACCAACTTATCTCCAAAACTCAGGAACCTTAGAAACAGCTGTAAAACCAAATATATGTTTAGACTGCTATGCTTCCCTCAATCTTTACCAACTAACTTCAATAATTTCTTAATCTAAACCATCAACCTGCCTCTTAGACCCCATCCCAACTAGGTTGCTTAAAGTGGTTTTACCCTTAGTCAGCACTTCTATACTAGATATGATCAATCTATCTTTATCAACAGGCTATGTACCACAGTACTTTAAAGTAGCTGTAATTAAACCTCTTCTGAAAAAGCCCAAACTTGATCCAGATGTTTCAGCCAACTATAGACCTAAATATCTAACCTTCCATTTCTCTCTAAGATTCTGGAGAAAGCAGTTGCTAAACAGCTGTGTGACTTTCTACAGAGCAATAGTTTATTTGAGGATTTTCAGTCAGGATTTAGAGTTCATCATAGCACAGAGACAGCACTGGTGAAAATTACTAATGACCTCCTTATTGCATCAGATAAAGGACTTGTCTCTGTACTGGTTTTATTAGATCTAGTGGCATTAAAGGAACCGCTCTAAGATGATTAGTCTTGGGGCTGATAAGACTTATCTATAAGATAAATTTCAGTTTGTACATGTTAACGATGAGTCCTCCATGCACGCCAAAGTTAGTCATGGAGTTCCTCAAGGATCTGTCCTCGGACCAATCCTCTTCACTTTATATATGCTTCCTTTAGGCAATATTATCAGGAAATATTCCAGAAACTTTCATTGTTATGCAGATGATACTCAGTTATATCTATCGATCAAGCCAGATGAAACTCATCAGTTAGCTAAACTTCAAATGTGCCTTCAGGATGTTAAAACCTGGATGACCTGTAATTTCCTAATGTTAAACATGGATAAAACTGAAGTTATTGTTCTGGGGCCTAAGCACCTCCGTGACGCATTATTTAAAGATATAGTTTCCCTTGATGGCATCGCCTTGGCCTCCAGCACCACTGTGAGGAATCTTGGAGTTATCTTTGATCAGGACATGTCGTTTAAGTCTCACATTAGGCAAATTTCAAGGACCGCCATTTTTCACCTATGTGATATTGCAAAAATCAGGAACATCCTGTCTAAAAATGATGCAGAAAAACTAGTCCATGCATTTCTTACTTCTGCTGCTGCTCTTCAGCTGATCCAGAATGCTGCAGCACATGTTCTGACAGGAACCAGGAAAAGAGATCACATTTCTCCTCTCTTAGCTTCTCTGCATTGGATTCCAGTAAAATCCAGAATAGAATTTAAAATCCTTCTTCTCACCTACAAAGCTCTTAATGGTCAGACACCATCTTATCTTAAAAGCTCATAGGACCTTACTACCCCACCAGAGCACTGCGCTCCCAGAATGCAGGGTTACTTGTGGTTCCTAGAGTCTCCAAAAGTAGACTAGGAGCCAGAGCGTTCAGCTATCAAGCTCCTCTCCTGTGGAACCAGGTTCCAGTTTGGGTTCAGGAGGCAGACACCATCTCCACATTTAAGAGTAGGCTTAAGACTTTCCTCTTTGATAAAGCTTATAGTTAGGGCTGGCTCAGATGAGTCCTGAACCATCCCTTAGTTATGCTGCTATAGGCCTAGACTGCCGGGGGATTTCCCATGATGCACTGAGCTCCTCTCTCCTCTACTTTCTCTCCCTCTGTGTGCAACCTCATCCCATTATTGCATGTTACTAACACAACTTCTCCCCTTTCTGGTAGTCTTGTGCTTTCTCGTCCCTCTCCTCTCTCCTCCTATCACTTCCTGCAGGTGTTTCTGGCTCTGGAGCTGTGGAGTCTGGATCTGTGGCTGCGGGTCACCTGCTGCCCCCGTGTTCCTGCTCGACACCATCTGCTACAATTACTGTTACTAGTCCTATTGTTATTATTGTTATTATAATCATTAACATTACGATTATTATCATTAACACTATTATAAATATCTGTACCATTTTTCATTCAGTCTATAGCAACATCACCTTTACTGTCTGTACCTCTGTGTGTATATTGTGTAGGCTGCCTCCCTCCTCTCTCTCTTTCCTTCCATCCCTCCCTTTCTTTCTATCTGTTCCTCTCTTGCTCTCTCTCTCTCCCTCTCTCTCTCGCTCTCTCTCTCCCTTGCTCTCTCTCTCTCCTTCACCCCAACTGGTCGAGGCAGATGGCCGCCCACTCTGAGCCATGGTTCTGCTCGAGGTTTCTGCCTCTTAAAAGGAAGTTTTTCCTTGCCTCTGTCGCCTAGTGCTGCTCTTGGTGGGAACTGTTGGGCTTCTGTAAATAGCATCACAGAGTATGGTCTAGACCTGCTCTTTTATGAAAAGTGCTCAGAGATAACTGTTGTTGTGATTTGGCACTATATAAATAAAATTTAAATGAACTACTGCTATCAGTATAAGTAGTGTTCCACATTATACGTCTCTGTGTGGATGACGGACTCTCTCTCCGACATATCTGCATGGATGAAGGCTTGCCACCTTCAACAAAGACTGAACTCTTGGTCATTCCAGTCAAGCAATCTATCACCACAAAATCAAACTACAAATTGACTCCTCAACCATCACTCCAACCAAAGTGGTGAGAAATTTGGGTGTCTGATGAACAGCTGTCCTTTTCAGACTATGTTGCTACTGTCTCTTGGTCATGCCGCTTTTCTCTATACAATATCAGGCCCTACCTCACTCAGTATGCCACCCAGCTTCTGGTACAGGCCATGGTTATCTGTCGCCTCAACTACTGCAAAGCCCTCCTAGCAGGTCTTCCAGCTTGTGCGGTGAAACCCCTACAAATGGTTCAGAACGCAGCAGCGCGTCTGGTTTTTGATCAGTCCAAAAAAGACTCATGTCACTCCATTACTCAGTGACCTCCACTGGCTCCCCATGGCCTCCTGAATCAAACAAGTCAGTAATGCTACTAGGTCTGCACCCATCTACCTAAACTCAATAATACAAGCTTATGTTCCTTCTCATCCATTGCGCTCCTCCAATGAAGGCAATCCCAGTCCCAGCTGTTCGCATCTGTGACACCACGATGTGGAACGAGCTACCACACGCCATCGGAGCAGGGGCGTCCCTCTCTAACTTCAAGAAGCTCTTGAAAACTCATCTCTTCCGAGAACACTTCCTCTTATAACACCTCTAACCTCTTACATGCACTTCCTGTGCTCTTCTTATTCTATCCCCTTACAATTCTCTTACGAGGTATTTATGTCATTGATACCATACTTGCTATTATCTCTTACTAGTATTGATTGCTGCTGTTCCTTGTATCTATTGTCAGTTGTAGATCTCTTACTGTATTAATGCTTTGTTGGAGCTTGTATGTTGTTCCTGAAATCTAAGTCTGTCAAATGAGTAAATGTAAATGTACTTATGTTTTATGAATCTGTATCCATCCTACAGATGAAAATCTTGTAATTATATAGTGAAGACTGGCTGTATCCAAATCTTTTACTTTTAAGATTGGTGATTTTCAGGCTGCTGTATGGGATGAGATATTGCTCTCTCATCTTAAGCTTATTCAAATATCAGAAAAACCAGTGGATCATTTCAAGAATGTTTTGTCTTCAAGCTCTACTCCCTGTTCCTGAAAACTTTCAATTTTGGAGATACAACAGTGACACACAGTATGCACGTAGTACTGTATGTATTCAGTAAGCAAGCCATGTCTCTCTGTTAGAGTGAATATGAGTAAATCAGCTGGGCCTGATAACATTCCTGGCCATGTACTAAAAATTTGTGCCAATCAGCTAGTGGATGTTATTGCTGACTTTTTCAACATCTCACTATCTCATGAGAGGGTTCCCACCTGCTTCAAGAAAGCCACCATCATTCCTGGACCTAAAAAGTCTGCAGTGTCTTGTCTGAACGACTGCCGCCCTGTGGCTCTCACCCCCATTCTGATGAAGTGCTTTGAGAAACTGGTTCTTCAGCACATAAAGAACAACATCCCAGCCACCAGTTTGCTTTCAGAACCAACAGATCCACAGAGGATGTCATCTCCACTGCCCTCCACTCAGTCCTCACACACCTTGAGAAAAACAACTCCTACATCAGAATGCTGATCAGCAAACTCAACACTCTGGGTTTAAATACAACACTCTGCAACTGGATATTAGACTTCCTCACAGACCCCAGTCTGTTTGGATTGGCAGACTCACCACCTCCACTCTAGTGCTCAACACATATTTCTTGAGGAAGCTTAAGAAGGCCAAATTCCCACGCCAAGTTCTTGTCAGCTTTTACAGAGGAGCAACAGAAATCATCCTGACTGGAAACATCTCTAACAACATGGGATGTGCAGGGCCCAGGACCGGAGGGCTCTGCAGAGGGTGATTAAAGCCGCTCAGAAGATCATTGGTACCCATCTCCAGAGCATCAGTGATATCAGTGAGGTGTCTACACAGAGCCCAAAGGATACTAAAGGACCGTACCAACCACAGCCTGTTCACCCTGCTGCCTTCTGGGAAGAGATATAGAAGTTTCTGCTGCTACACCACCAGACAGCAGAGCAGCTTTTCCCCCAAGCTATCAGACTCTTAAACTCTAATTCATCCTCAGCACTGCTCCAGTGATTATAGTTTAACCTGGTGTTTGAAGCAGATGTAGCAGAAGGGAGTTACAAAACTCAATTTCACTCTATAACTTGTTATATTGTGACAATAAACCTACCTATCTTAGTCCAAACTGTGAAGCTTTCTCAACACAGAGACACAGTGTGGAGCGTGAGCAACCACACTCACTTACCAGTCTGCCCAGCAGCTTCCCCCCACAGGCTGTGCTGCTGCCGTCCTTCATGGAGAGAGCCACCTGGTAGATCAGCTTCTTCAGCCCATCCAAACCCTCCAGGGTTTTACAGGACACTTCACTGAGGCAAAACACACACAAGCACACTGATACTGGTAACAATGCAACAACTGGAAAGCAGCATAAGCAAAATGTGCAGCTCCTTATCAATATAAATAAACTGTAAAATGTGTGCTTACTGCAGGTGTTTCCAGGTTATATCAGGGTAGCCGCTGGCTCGAGCCCCTGATGGGGATCGGCAAAGAGCCAGAATATAAGCTTTTAGCGTGGCCAGCCTCTCAGTGCGAAATTTGGTGTTAATGAGATCCAAGTGTGTTCCCACAACCACCACTGCAGAGTTGGGTGCTCGTGCCTGTAGGCCAAGCACACAGATAACATATTTATTCAATGTGTATTGAAAGAAAAGAAAGAAAGAAAACACACAGATTTAATTTGTTAACTGTCATCTTTTTATATTTTGAAAGACAACGTTATTAATCCCTCTGGGGGAAATTCAGTTTTTACACTGTTAATATTTTATACATATGCATTAATGTCAGAGAGATGTCAGAGAGAGGGGGGTGGCATGTCATTGTCGCCACAAGCACTTGGTTCAGTGGTTCAAGTCCTTGCAGGAGGTGCACTGGCACCTCTCCAGCTACCAGTCCACGCTCTGTATGACCACACTGGTCCACACTGGACTCAAACTGGCGACCCTCTAGTTCCCAAACCAAACCCCCACGGACTGAGCTACTGCCATCCTAACTGCACACCAATTACCACATAAAGCAACCCGGTGAACAGCAAAATAAAAAGCAAGTGAAAGTTCATTCTTGACCTTGGAAAAAGGTTCGACACACACACAACAAAAAAAGTTAACTCCAACCAGGGTCTAGCCTTTCCCACCACTTGTTATCTTCCTCAGCACGTTGCGTTTGGCCAGTTATCATGGAGATGTCTGAGCTGTCATCATATCTAAGTATTGAACTTCAGTCACATGATAACTAGTGCTCCTACTGTATATTGATGAAGACTGTGAGTTGCAGTTGAAAACTCGTGTCTGACACATGTTTTAGCTGACATATGCAACAGGCTAGATGTGTCAATCAACATCTTAAGAGTTTTTAGCATTACAGCACTACAGACAGAATCAGGCGTTGACATCTGATTGATACTGGTTAAAATGTGTTCAACACATTCCATAAACAGGAGCCTGAATATTTATTATCAAACTTTTAACAGTAAAAAGTAAAAAATGGAATGTATTCTTAAGGTATTTTAATTCCTTAAAATGCTCTCGTTTCTTGTTTTGCTTTTTTTGTTGTTGTTTTCATTTTATCACAGCAAGTACCATAACTACCGTACTATTACCATTTCAACTGAAGTTAATCTGTTATAGGAAGACTGACCACATCTTATAAAATGTCTGTTTTTTATTCGTTAGCCTGATCAGCAGGCTAGTGTTGTGAACAAGCCAGTGCGGGATTGATTATTTTATATTAAAAAAAAAGGAATAATCCGAAATCTCTCTTTGTCTCTCCCTGAGAGACAAGGAGGGGGGTTGAGATCAACCCTCAACAGACAGCCGAAGTACCCCGAAGGAGGGGGTGAAAAGTGAAAAGTGCTGTTGGGTAGTTTCAGCTATAAAACCTACCACCTCCGGTGAAGTTGAGATAACAGACTCTATACATGACTATTAAAATGACAATATTAACATTACACAGAGACTAACTTCAGCCTGAACCAGGCGGTGAGGACTACAGCAGCCATAAACTAAACGACCTCTAAACACTCCCAAGACCAAGAGGGCAGGGTAACCATGGTAACGAAGTTCCTTTTTCAGATTACCTCAGACATGAAAAACCCCCTTCTTCAGTCTTGATTCTGTACCCCACCAAAGAGCCATTCATTTGGACTCCTAACATGCCCTTTCACTTTCACATCTAGGTGTGAGAAACTCCAGACGCCAGAGAAGGACGCTGCCCCAAATTCCTTTGTGTGGACAAATTAATACTGTCTCCTTATAACTTGCCTATTACCTTGTTTAATTAAAGAATCTTTGTTAAGTTACTTAGCAGGTCTCTCCACTCCATTTGAGTAGTTACATTACCATGTTGTTGTTGTTGTTCAAAAGAAAAATCCATAAAGAGTTAATTTTGCAGTGCTCTTTAATCTACAACAATGATCACTGACATTCCTTTAATTTATTTTTTAACTAATGCTTTATCCCCAACACTTTCTGACACTTCCTTTAGAAATGATATGATACAGAAATATTATCCTGTGCTACTTGATTAATTTTCCAGCTCGAATTTAATGTTAAATAACCATTTCTTCCCTAGTGAGAGGATCAATGGTTCTCTCGTGGAATCCGTGTCCCAAAGAGGACAAACTAAGTATTACAGGTCCCTGTTTCTTTAATGCCTCTCCCGCTGTTTTAATGTATCACTCTGTATTTTATTGTGCATAATCTGATGCCATGTTCGTGTAACTTGCTTATATATTCTCTAAGTAAGAATGTTTAACTGCCAGTAATATCCAGGAAATGTTTAGTCAAGTGTCTTCATCTGCTGTAAACTTGAAAAATGTGTTTAACCGAACAATTCTAATCGTTACAACGGTTAATTGTTTCCCTCCTTTATCAAATGCTTAAAACTAAGAACGGTATAACTGTTTATGACATTTAAGATTTTGATTATGGGAAGGTATTTGATTAAAATACGCAGAAATAGACATTTTAAAACCAGGTTAGCAGACCGTTTCAGTCGCACAACTCTGAATCAAGAACGACCAAGTTCTTTTAAGCTTTATTCCGTCAAGTTAACTTTTACTGCAGTAGCCTAAAGGACATCATAACCCACGAACCAAGCCAAGCTAACAGCCTACCACTGCAAGTTTTCTTCAACTAAGTTAGCAGCCGAAGGGCGGACCTCTGAAGCAATTCCCTGGCAGAGACAGCGACCGGCCGACGGCTTGTTAAGCCGTCTCAAGCGAGAACGCGCGAAACTCAGCCAGAGTGGAGCCGACCGAACACCAGACGGTGGAGAAACCATAAGCAGTAAGAAACCAACGGCATTCTGTGGTTGAGTTGTTGTCCAATAGTCTTTTAATCCATTAGTTTAATCCTAGCCAAATTTAACCTAGTTATTATCATAACTTGTGTTTATTAGTTCTCCTTCTCTCTTAGAATCAAATCCTTCTCCACAATAACTCAGACCAACTAAATTCACATTGAACTGCACTACATTCTCATTGTGTGCATCCTGTTTGTTTAGCCATTCTTTCTTTCTTTGATGTATATTTAACCGCACTTATATACACCTTTATTTAGCTAATAAATTTCACCGTAATCACAGGAACTGTGTGTGTGTATTGTTTAACTCCAGGTCACTGTAACGGAGGATTTCCGCCTTCGATATGAGATTGACTGATTGATTAGACTGATAATTAAATAATTACTACTAACTGATCATGAGGAAATAATTGCATAATTATTAAGCTATACTTAAGGTTCCTAAAGCCTTCGGCAGACAGCAAATCTTTAGGTGGTGCCCGAAAACGAGAGATATATGAATTATTATTAATATTTCTGAATATTAATATTCATAATTGTTATTAACAGTAAAGTAGGTATACTACACTAGGTTAGGTTTAAATAGAAACGCTGGATTAAAATGCGTCTGGGACAGTGACACATCAAAATGAGATTGGCAATAACAAAGTTACAACAGAGGAACATTCACTCCTATCTGTTTCGAACACCATGGTATTTAATGCTGTAAACTAACCACAAAAATCAGTAGGAAGAAAAGGGAAGGCAATATTTAATGTTCCAGTTAGTAATTAGGCTTCAATGAACCCTTTCAGTCAAATGATGCAAGCTGTCACCATCTTCCACGTCATTACATTTCCATTAAATGAATTGGACTGTGGTTGGTTTATGTGGTCTGACAACCAAATGATTTCTCTTTAAATCAGATTTTTGGTCCCTCCCAATGAAAACCCTTTGTTCAGCACTGCCTGGTTCTCACAGTCAAGACCTTCCCTTTCTGACCCGCTCACACTTAATTACAGCTGGAAGCAGGTTCTCAGGAGGTCTGCAGAAGTGGGCGTGTGTGCGTGAACTGAATTTCACCTCTATGTTGAGCAGCCATGTCTGCAGGCTGGCCACAGCCTCCTCTCCCAGAGCCAGGTTCCAGATCACCATGTACAGGGCCTTATCAGTGAAGAAACACTGGTTCACTGTGGACATGCTGGCCTGACCGCCAATGTCCCACACGTTGAAAGCCACAGAGTCCTTCTGTGTGTGACAAGACGAGAGCTAAGTCAACTACAGAGGGAGCTGGAAAAAGGAAAAAGTGATGAGTCAGGTGCAACTATCTGAAAGTCATTATTGAAGATTCACTCCTTGATTTTGTTATAGCTTCTAACTGACATCTGCTGAATGGACTGTCTCTGACTGCTGATTATTTTCTCTATTACTCGATTGTAAAAATTCTGAAACTAGATATAAATCTATTATAAATGAATATATTTATTCTGCCATTACAGACAAAATGGAGATGCAATGAAGAAAAATAAGCTATATTTTTAATGCAATAAACCATCAAAACCATCATCAAATAGATTATAATGCAACTGAATATCTTCTAATACACCTGGAATGCAATTGTAACTGTAAATCTGATGATAATAAACAGTTATCATACAATTTTATTTAAATATACCAGGTGAATGTCCATATTTTGGCAATATTTACTGTTTAAATGTTGACTTTTATTGAGAGTTATCTTTAAAACACTATTTCTGTCCATACAACCACGTTCCAAATAACAAAGTTTCCAAAACATTGAAATATTGATAAAAACAGTGAATATTCATCAACATTCCTGTCATCAAAAGCACTCCCATGCTTTACAGCATCTTTTCATGCATCATGAGGTCTATTCAACTCTTAAATCCTGAACCCTATATAGACCCTTTCCCATGTTTTCAAGTCATCATACTCCTTCAGCTACTTCTTCACACAAACTTAAGCCAGCAATCCACTTTACAATATTCCACATTTTCATACTTATTGGTATTATTCAATTTTTTAATTCCATTCTTACTAATTCCACCCTTCCCAACTATTCATAGTCCTACACTTTTTCCTGCATTTTCCAACCCTTATTTACTCATACATTGTGGGAAAAACTTAAATTCAAACCCTATGATATTCCATCTCTTTCATACATTATTGGTATTATTCAACATTTAAAGCCAGCAATCCAGTTTAGTGTCAGCCTTTTAACAGCCAGCAGTCACACCACAATTTTGTCAGAAATTGCTTCTCAAGTTATAATTATTCCGCCACATTGAAACTTCATTCAAACATCAAAATATTCAGCTCTATTAGGATATGCAGTGTACAAGTTTTGTCATTCATGCCTTTCATACTTTCAGAAATAATTAACATTTTCCAGTTCCAGTTTCACTTAAATAAATGGATGGATGATTGTTCAAATCTTTACTCTCTACACTAATTCATAATTTCAACAAGAAACTCCATTCAAATGTTCAACATTTGTCCTACATTCTGGGTAGTATTCAAGTCCTTATATAGGCAAGTCCCGCCACTCAGCAGCCATCTTGGTAACGCCTCTGGCAGTTTTTGTGGACTAACAAGATCAGGCCCCTTTCTAAATGAACAGGGAGAGAGCCATAACTGCACTTTCAGTGGTCACTGGGACATAAAAACGGCATGAATAGAATCACTTAGAGCCTTTTAAACTGCTGACCAATCACTTTCTGATAAAAACCACTGAAAAACACCCCGGTATTTTCTAACACATATTGCAAGTACTGCATATCAAATCTGGCACCTTCTCACGCAGTATTTTAGCAGACATGTAGTTCATCTGTTCTGGTCACACACCTGCCCCTTGCCGCCACCACAACATCTGAAACTATTGCAAACCTCAACTGTTTACTTACATCAGTGGAACCACATGACTGGCTTAATATGTTTCCCTGCTCGGCTGTTCAAAAACAGACAACTGGCTTTCTTGCGGGAGGGGTGGGATATGTGCATACAACTGCAATCTTAGGTGTTACAGGCTTTCCCCACAGAGTTCTATTCAGGATTCTTTTAGTGGAGTCTCTTTTTTTAAATCTACTCTGGTAGTATTCAACTTTCAAATCCCATTAAAACTTTTCAAAATATTAAACCTAGAGGCTACAGTGCCCTCTACCATCAGTGTATGACTGAGAATGGGGTGATCGTGATGTAGTGTGAAGCTCTCTCAGTGGTCAGAAAGACTAAAAAGGCTCTTTGTAAGTACAGAGCATTTACCATGGTCTGATCTCTTGACCATATACTGTGTGTCCGTGCAATGAATGTACAGTATATGTATGAGTGGTCTGCATTTTCCTCACGCTATTTTTGCCTCTGTTGGGTTTGTCCAGCTCCCAGGTGGAGGTGGAGATGCTGCATTCTGCTGGGGTGAAGGGGGATGCCCTGCCTGTCTGCAGAGCCTCTAGAAGGGTTGTCTTCCCCTGCCTCGGTGGACCAATCACAAGCATCTTCAGCAGTTTAAAAGGCTCTGCCCTTCGAAGGTGTGCCCGGAGGAAAGTCAGGACAGACGCAGGACCTGAAAAACCAGAGCGGTCAACATCCTGTTTTCCGGGTGTTGGAAATTACATTATCAATTACCAAGAAACTATAAACACAGGTGCCACTGGTGCAACAAACCAAACACATAGTTACATTGACTCAAATACTTTGGGTTTAGCTGTTAAGAATATTAGATTTTTACTCATTTACATTTATCTGACTGCTGCAATTACTTGTCATTCAGAAGATTATATATAACCTATTTCAAGTGTGAAATTGGTTATATGTGTTTGTTGTCAGATGCTACATATGACTACCAAACAGTCCATAAATTAAGAAACAGGTCAAGAAACACAAGCAGTAAGATGATCTGATGGTTGAAAACAAGCCTCCAGGTTAGACTTATTTCTTTCTTTCTTATTTCTTCTATATCTTATTTAAAAGAGAAATCGAAGGCTGAGACAGTCCGTTCAAACACCAATCACAGTTTACAGACCCACTGCCTGCTTGACCAACTGTACTTATTGTAACTGAGCACACTCTTTTTCCTGTGCAGAGAGGGAGGATTGCCAACATTTCAGGTGTGCTCGCTTTCAGTTTGATCTCCAAAGTGGTTAATAAAGTCTGGATAACCTGATGGCTTGTTTCCAACCTTTATGTTGGACTGCTCTTAAGAGATCTCATCATGTTCCCAGGTCTCAGCTGTTAACTTGGTGAGTACAGTACTATCATAGCTGATAGAAATGATGGCCGATACGCTCGATGCGATAATAAAACCTAGGTTGTAGACTTTAAAGTTTGACTTCAAAGGATAGGTTCAGTGTTTTCATAGTCTTAAATCACTAGTCAGGTGCCTATATGAGCATTAAACAGGTTTTGCTTTCTACACTCCTCCTGTTAAAACTGTTCATTAAGAGATCCTTTGCTAATTGTCTTCAAGTGTTAGTGGTGTGACTGCTGTCCTCATTCTTTGCAAAAATGTACTGAAAAGTTTATCTGAAGTTAATGTGAGGCCTCAGCAATCCTATAAGGATTGTCACTTTAAATCTTTAAAGACAGTTAGACAGTACCTTCTTGTCTTATTTCCCTGGGGACATTAGTAATGTTGAGGTCTTCAATGTCCAGCTGCCACAGGTTGGAGAGCTGACCAAGCTCTGCGGGAAGCTCCCGGATTCCAGGATTACTGTTCCCAGAGCAGGTGAGACAACATGGGTCAACAACTGACATTAAAGACAGGACGTTCAAAGGTACCTACCATCCAAATTTGATCTTGTCAGTTTTGAATAACTTAATAAATTAAATTATTCCTGATGTCACTAAACTATTTATACCTCATAGACATTAACCGAAAGAGCCGATAAGGTCCCTAAACTCCATCTTAAGAAACAGTCAGATAGGTATATCGCCAAAGTAATTTTTAGCAGCAACAGAAGAATGTTCTCAATCTTAACCTGTCTAGATCACAATGGTAACTTATGCTGCACACGTAACCTTTGTTATTTTATGTTCAGAGTTTCGTCGCGCTTTCACCACTTCTTTTCCTGAAGATATTCTGTATGAGCGAAAGAGATTCTCAGCTGAAGAAATACATTCCATATGCAAACCTGCTGGCTGTACGGTAGTAATACCACCAAACAAAGACGTGCACTTACAGTAGTACAAACTGTAGGTGTTGCGTAGCCATGGGAACCTACATGCATTCAGTTGGTGATGCAGAAAATGCATACTGGTGTTTTATGCTTGGTCCTGATTTGCTAAAGTCCGTTTTAGACTGCTGGTGGTGCAGCTACAACACAGATTAGAAGATTGGTTTGTTTATTGATACTTACCACAGACAATCTTCCATCAACAACATTAATTTCACTTTCATTTGGCCAAAAACTAAAGTGATTTCCAAATGCTCTTCATTATGGGGACAGTGTAAGGCCTAATGAACTTCTTGAGTAGGTCTCTCATGTTTAAATATCAAGTTTGAAGTTTAAAAACTCTAACATGCTGCTGTGATGTTACAAATAACCAGAAGTGCATTGAGTGACTACAGTCAATTTTATGGAGAAATGTTCTAGCAAACAGAAACTCGTTTTACATTTTTATCTTGACCACTGACAGACAATAGTGCCCCTTACAGAAAAATAGTTATAACTGCAGCAGATACTGAGAATCTGCACCGCACCTCTCAGATATAATTTGTCAACAGTGGAAGAGATGAAATACACAGATCTGGGGATCATAACTTGATAAACCTTACCTTAGTATTATTGGTGTGACAATATGAAGTTTGGCGGACAGACAGAGGGACTCACTTGGAGAGGTAGAGCTCAGTGAGGCTGTGCAGACCACACACGGATTGGGGAACACACTCCAGCTGGTTGTCGTTCAAGAAAAGCACTTCCAGTGAATCCCGCAGAATCATGGGAAACTCTATCGGACACACTGCAAAGACAGAACCATGCAGAGGGCTATAGCATGCATAAACACATACAGAAAATCACTTGATACAGTTTATTATGTATTAATACTGGACTTGTGTTTGGCTTAGTTTGTGCCAGACATTTCTAAAGAAAATGAAAAGTTAGCAGCAACTCCCACAGAACTGGATTCTTGGCATGATGCAATTCCTTTGAAATAGCATGTGAAACATTTTGTAATACTACTACAAATAAAATAGAGCATTACACAATAACTATGTATTTAATAAAGCTGCATGATTTCCATTTTTTCAGATATGAACATAAGGATTGACCCATGCTGGATTCACAGGACATTTATCCTTCCCAGGATCTTTTAAGTGTTTAGTGAACTCAGCAACAATCATTATACTGTATTTTACTAGAATCTGTGGACTGCAGACATTGCAGATATTTTTATGACTAAGTGTGAGAGGTTATAAGGCGGAAATAATAAATAGCAGGTAGGCAGGGGTTGAGCAAATTATAATTTCCCCCAAATTAAGCCTGTGAGGTAGGTTTCATCCAGGGTTGTGTTTGTTGGCAGTCATATACAGGCTGAGATTGAGCTGTGTTTTAGAGCAGTGGTTCTCAGCCTGGGGAACAGGACCCCTTTAATGGGTCGCAAGCAGGGGTCACAAGACAATTAAAGGGACAGAAAAGAAAAGAAACACTGTTCTGCTACACAAATGTTCTCAACTCATCAAATCACCTTGGACTCCGTATAGATAAAGCAAAATCAAAATCAGAAGAATCAGAATCAGAAGGAGCTTTATTGCCAAGTACTGTTTTACACATACCGGGAATTTGCTTTGGTGATAAGGTGCTACGTGTAGACAAACATACAGTTGACATAAATAAATATAAAAATATGGATTAGACAATGCAAGTTACATAAGAATAATAAAAAAATTGAGAATAACAACACAAGTATTTGCAGAGAAAGAACAACATGGCAGATATTTACACATGCATTATTCCGCGTTTGCGTTGTGCAGACGTATTGCAACGGAAGAAAGTAATCTGTACATAAATATATAAATTGAACATATAAAAATATACAACAAATATGTGCAATATGTCAGGTTTGTGCATGATATGAAATGTGGGGCCTTGTTAATGAGGCTAGCTGCAGACGGGAAGAAGCTGTCTGAAACAGTTTGTGTCCGGGGTGGGAGGAGTCAGCTGCAATCTTTCCTACTCGCCTCATAGTCCTGGAGGCGTACAGGTCCAGAAGAGAAGGAAGATTGCAGCCAATCACCTTCTCTGCAGAGTGAATGATGCGCTGCAGCCTGCCCCTGTCCCTGGCAGTGGCAGCAGCGTACCAGATGGTGATGGAGGAGGTGAGGATGGACTCAATGATGGCGGTGTAGAAGTGCACCATCATTGTCTTTGGCAGGCTGAACTTCTTCAGCTGCCGCAGGAAGTACATCCTCTGCTGGGCCTTCTTGGTGAGGGAGGTGATGTTCAGCTCCCACTTGAGGTCCTGGGAGATGATGGTGCCCAGGAAGCGGAAGGAGTCCACAGTGGTGACTGGATGATGGGGGAGGGTGGGGCTGGGCTCTTTCTGAAGTCCACGACCCTCTACACTGTCCTCAGAGTGTTGAGCTCCAGACTGTTCTGGCTGCACCAGGTCACCAGATGGTCGATCTCCCACCTGTAGGCGGTCTCATCCCCACCAGAGATGAGCCCAATGAGGGTGGTGTCATCCGCAAACTTCAGGAGCTTGACAGACTGTGACTGGAGGTGCAGCTGTTGGTGTTCAGAGAGAAGAGCAGAGGGGAAAGAACGCAGCCTTGAGGGGAACCGGTGCTGATGGTCCTGAAGTCAGAGACAAGTTTTCTCAGCTTAACCTGCTGCTTCCTGTCCGTCAGGAAGTCTGGGATCCACCTGCAGGTGGAGTCAGGCACGCTCAGCTGGGAGAGCTTGTCCTGCAGCAGGGCCGGGATGATGGTGTTGAAAGCAGAGCTGAAGTCCACAAACAGGATCCTGGCGTAGGTTCCTGGGGAGTCCAGGTGCTAGAGGAAATAGTGAAGGGCCATGTTAACTGCATCATCTACAGACCTGTTTGCTCTGTAGGCGAACTGCAGGGGGTCCAGGAGTGGGTCAGTGATGGATTTTAGGTGGGACAACACAAGGCGCTCAAAGGACTTCATAACCACAGAGGTCAGGGCGATGGGTCTGAAGTCCTTTAGTCCTGTGGTCCTTTGTTTTTTGGGGACAGGGATGATGGTGGAGGCTTTGAAGCAGGCTGATCAGCACAGTGCTTCATGGTGGATGGGGAGACAGAGTCTGGCCCAGCTGCTTTGCGAGGTTTCTGCCTCCTGAATAGTCTGTTGACATCCCTCTCTGAGATGGAGAGAGGAGGGGAGGGGGTGGAGCTGATCAGAAGAGTCACGTGGATGATGTTCGACTGACTCTCAAAGAGGCAGTAAAACTGGTTCAGCTCATTTGCCAGGTGAGAGTCGCTGAAAGAGTGGGGGGCTTTGGGTTTGTTGTTAGTGATCTGTCTGAACCTCCTCCAGACAGAAGTGGCGTCGTTTGCAGAGCACTGGTCCGTTAGCCTCTCTGAGTACAGTCATTTAGCATCTTGCACCGCCTTGCTAAACCTGTACTTTGACTCCTTAAACCTGGCTCGGTCCCCACTCCTAAACGCCTCCTCCTTTTCCAACCTCAGCTGTCTGAGCTTAGCTGTGAACCAGGGTTTGTCATTGTTATAACTCACCCTGGTGCGCGTTGATATGCAGCTGTCCTCACAGAAGCTGATGTAGGACGTCACAGCCTCTGTAAACTCATCCAGATTGTTGGTAGCAGTCCTGAAAACATCCCAGTCAGCGCAGTCCAAACACACCTGGAGGTCCTCTACAGCTTCACTGGTCCATTTCCTGTCCTCACTACAGGTTTACAAAGTTTTAATTTAATTTAATAAAGTCTGTAAGCAGGAATCAGGTGGACCATCACGTGATCAGAGTGTCCCAGTGGAGCGCGTGTGACGGCGTGATAGGCACTGCTAACTGTGGTGTAGCAGTGATCCAAAGTGTTCCCCTCTCTGGTTGGACACTTCATAAACTGTCTGTATTTGGGGAGTTCTTGGCAGAGGTTTCCTTTGTTAAAGTCAGCGAGTAAAATAACAAGGGAGTCCGGGTTTGTCTGCTCCACACACAGTATCCGGTCAGCCAGCATGCGCTCTGCGTCCTGAACGTTTGCGTGCGACCAGATGACCAGACCAGAGTGAATGAAGCAAACTCACGGGGGTAGTAAAACGGTTTACAGCTTATGATTAAAAATTCCAGATTAGGAGAACAGTGCTGCTGAATTACTGTAACGTCAGTACTCCAGCCATTGTTAATATAAAAACAGGCACCGCCACCACAAAATAGAAGATGAATAATAGTCTCTTTTTTTCCCCACCAGTAGCCGAAGTTCGTCCAGTTTGTTGCACAGTGAGCGCACACTGGAGAGAAATATTGCCGGTAGCGGCGTGCAGAGTCCCTGCCGGCGAAGACACAGGAGCGACCCGGCTCTTTTTCCTCTCCTGCAGCGCTTCACCGCCTAAACAGTGAGAGAGCCCTTCAACAAAATGTCCAATAATTCCACTGATGACACGAGGAAAGTGGGAATTAAATCCGCAGGAATTGTTCCCCTGATGTTCATGAGCTCTTCTCTGGTGAAAGAGCTTCGCCGAAAACTGAATTAACACACAAAAACAAAACAAAGCGCACCTAACACCGAGGCGGCTATACACAGCGCCATCTTGGTTCAAGTCAAGTCTTGGTTCAACAGGAAAATAATAAATAAATTGCCAACATTTCGTAACATTGGATGTTAAAGAGATCTCACCTAAATGACATGTGATAGCAAAATTTCTCAGTTTGTGGAACTATTGAAAAGCCAGAACAAAATCACACATCTACATTTGAATGTATGTTAACTGTTGTTATTCAGGGACTGAATAATGGCAAAAACAATTAGTTAGTCTCACCCTATAGTCCTGACATAATAGCCAAAGTCCAAATTATTGGTTGCAAGTAAGGAGGAGAAACACTGTGACAACATGATTATGCCCATTTGTATTTACTCGTGCAGTGCACATGGACGTTCATCTGATCGACTTCACACTCAACACTGCACTACTTCGAGTCCTCAGCAATATAACAGCCAAGTGTGGAGTCAGTTGGAAGAACTTTTTGTTTAGCCTAGCTGGTAGTGTATGCGCCCCGTGTACAAATCCTGAATCCAACTTTCAGTCCTTTGCTGCATGTCCGCTTCCTTCACATCTCCTGTCTCTTCTTGACTTTCCTATCCAATTATCGAAGGAGTAGCAAAAAAACGGACCCACAGAATCCGGGGAAAAAATGATTTTGTTGACATACAGTTATAGACTAAAATTTAAAATTCGTTGTTATTGTGCCACCATCTGGCGAAACTGCACCAAATTCGACACTGCACTCCCATGGGTCCTCAGCAATACAACCTCCAAGATTAGATGAATGGTTGTTGAGAACACTGAAAGATGGTCAGACAGACAGAGATGTTCAAATTATTTCCATGTAAAGCAGACCTGGGTCTGGGTCCCTCCTGTTCCATGTAGTCAGGAAGGCCAGCCTCCTGGATTTGGGCCCCTCCTCTGTTCTGAAAGACACAATTTGAAATCCAGTAATTCATCTGCTGAAATCAAGCCAAGCAGCAAACTTCCAGTCTCATCTGTGAGGACATATAGGAAGTAACTAAAACTACAATTCATCGAGTGGCCACTTGAGGCTGGCTCCAAAAAGGGAGCAAATCTTCATTGACCCCCATGTTAATATGCCAACTTTACAGCAGAATAAGACATGTTTACAGCCTGGTTCAAAAGATGGTTTTGGTGTATAAAGCTAATTTTGCCCTTCATGACAACTGTGAGGGGGATGAATTTCATCTCAACTCAAAGATCTAAGACTTTCTCTATGTACACAAAAGGCCTATTTCTCTCAAATATTGTTCACAAATCTGTCAAAATCTGTGTTAGTGAGCACTTCTCCTTTGCTGAGATAATCCATCCACCTCACAGGTGTGGCATATCAAGATGCTGATCAGACAGCATGGGGATTGCACAGGTGTGCCTTAAACTGGCCACAATTTAAAAAATTCTAATTTTGTTCAGTATATATTAAAGGTTCAGTGTGTAATATTTCTGAGGATCTGTTGACAGAAATGCAATATAAGATCCATAACTATGTTTTCAGTGGTGTATAAAGACCTTACATAATGAACCATTATGTTTTTATTACCTTACAATGAGACATTTATATCTACATAACCGCGGGCACCCCCTTCCATGGAGGTCGCAGTATTTTGTTGTCATGTTTCTACCGTAGCCGTCAACGAACAGCAATACAGAGCACGTTTCGTCATCACGGCATTCTTTTTCTCCTTGTATTATTCCGATAGTGTAGACGCCCGTCCCTACATTGAATACGTACAAAGAAGAAGAGGAGGGACTAATAACAATAATATATATATATATATATTTCTACCATGAAGCCGGAGGAGTCTGAATAGACAGCTGACAGTAGAAATCACGGATGTGGATTTTCCCAGATGGAAGCCTATAATGTGGGACAGATGTTTTCAAAGCGGCGCTGAAGTTGTCTGTTTTTTGCTGGACAAATAAATAACTTAAGTTTGTCAGACTTTAGCGATGCAAATGAAAGCTGTTGTTTGATATCTTTAGCTATAATCTCCATTTCCCCTGTCAGTGGTGTGAAATACGTAGTTGGATTAATTTTATGTTGCCTACTTAGCTGATTAGCTCATCTGATCAGTAACGTTAATTGTCAATAAAACCGTAACGTTAGCTTAGAGCATGAAAGCGTCAGCCAGCTAAACATTTACTGTGCTGGAAGAAAAAAATATGTTGTTGGATTGTAATTTCATGTAGTTCTTCTCCAGTGCTCTGTAATGGCTTTGTGTGGACAGAAATGTGGCGTTACATTCCTGAGACAGATGATGAATATTATTGGCAATAAAACGGTAACAGCAGGGGAGCTCAGATCAGCAGCTATACTTCACATTTTACTGCCCTGGTGGAAAACATGTATTTATTTTGTATTCAAGTGACAAATAAGGAATACTTTCAGAATTTGCATTATAAAAAGAACTTTTTTGGAATTGGATAGTGCTTCCCCACTGTGCACACAAATATGTAATTTGTGCTTTCACATGCTAAATGCCCATTAAAACGTTGAACCGTTTTACCACAAGCTGAAATTATGGCTGTCAGTACTACTTTGTGTTTTTGTTGTATTTCAAAAAATTAAATAAGACATTTTGGCAAGATTTGCATGCTTGTCAAAGCGAGAGGAGCCTTGATCCTCACCAGCCAATGCCTTTGTAAACTTCATGTATTATGTGGTTTATAATGGACTGTGGTGCAGAAACAGTGAGGCTTACATTGTCCTGGTATTTGTCAGTGGTCATACTTGATGCACTAGATGTGATAGTGTTTGAGAATTTCTTCATTTTCTTTGATATGTTAGTCCAGATGAGCCAACTGTATTACAGGAGGATGAGACATCTGCTGCCACTGTCACTGCTAGCCGTCTCCCCTCCGTCTGTTAGCTCAGCTACTACAGTCAGTCACAAATTATGGAGCTTTGCCCTGTTTATGCCTTTTGGAAAGTTGGCAGGAGAGAGAACCTCCAGGAAGTCCGTGCTCCAGTTGGTGAGTGAAATTCTAATATTTTATTCATGTGTTAACAATATTTAACAGGTGTGTTGAGAGTGTGTTCTAACTGCAGTTTTTAAGGAGTCAAAGACGTCAGCAAGAAGAGAGAAGCCAAAAAGTATTAGATTGTTAGTGTTAGACATTAGGGTGATAATATTTTTGAAGAAAATGTGTTAAGTTGTAAAGTAAAGGCTCAGCTCTCAGTTAGCTGACGTTATGTTAACATTAAACTTTACAAATGGGCAATGTTAGATTTAGCAATGTACTATTATGACGTCACTGTTAAGTTAGATACTAGTCAGATATTATTAGGATAAGTAGCTGCAATGGAAACGGAGGGACACGAACGGTTGAAAGGCAGAGAGCTGAGGGGGAGCGGCTGCAGAGTTCTGCCTTACTGCTGAGGAGAGCCATGAACCTCCAAGCAACGTTAGTGTTTAAAAACAATATACTATTCTTTGTGAGGTTCATCAGTAGGGATGATTGATTCGAAGTACATATTTAAGGACGTTTAGAGTCATCAATAATTTATTATTAGACTTAGAAGTAGCATTCTTTGAGATTCAGCAAATAATCTGGAGGTGATAACTGCGTTTGTTCAGTGTTCACAGCAATGTGTCTGGAAAGGAGCTTAAGAGGTGGATGCATTATTTGACAGAACAGATGTTGTAGGCTACCTGCAGAGATTTGCATCCACCTTTTTGTCTCAGGATATATGAGCATTATCTCCCACGAGGTGCAGACAATTCTCTACAGGCATGCAGAACTTTGCACCTGTGGTGAGGACTGGCAATTGTAAATAGTGTGATCTAAACTTAACAATATATTATAGTTAACAGCTGTAAATGAAACAATTAATTGTTAATTGTTAATAGGTTAACAATTTGCATTTATGTTAGAAGACAGTAAAAAATTAAAAGATGATGTTAGATACTGGTGTTATTTTGACATTTCTTTAAGAGACAAATGTGACATTCACTGAGAAGTCACTGTGTTGTGAAAAACAAAGAATTATCTGCACACTGAATAGTTCTTATTGCAACCTCTGAGAAGGTCTTGTATGGCTTACATCGTATAGACTCACCTATTTACTACATGTGCATTTGATCAGCTCTGAGACCTCAGAGTTTGCAACGTCACAATAAATATCACCTAGTGGGATTCATAATTACTTAGTGTGCAGATCATTCTTTCCCACCATGTTTCTACAATAGCCCAAACGCACAAACGGCTCTTAAAGAGTGTGTTTAGTCACTAGATTGAATATGTACGAAGAAGAAATAACATTAGTAGTAGTAATAGTCGACGGGTTTATTAGAAGTAAGAAAAGAAGAGACATTTGGACAAACGGAGGACCACACGTATTATTTAGCTCAAGAGCTGACAGAGTGCCGCTGAAGCTTCTCCTGCGCACTTGGAAAGGTAGGGCTGAGCGGTGACTGATGCGGTGCATTCATGTGGTGTCGGAATAATCAGAATCTTTTTTTCCTCCTTAAATCTTCATGGCAAAGAGAGAAATAAAGTGGAACCCAACCGACTTATCGTTATGCAGATATTATCGGCCGATATGAGCTATGAGATACAGTATGTGCGTTTGTAACAGACGATTTATGACTATTAAAAAAGAAACGGAAAGTCGTATCCTTTACTCATGTCATGAGAGTTGCATAGTTTGCCCACCAGAGGGCGCTCTGCAAATCCCCTGGTTGGTAACACTGCCTGCACCATAAAACAAAAGAACCAGCTGACTGGAGTCTGCCAGAGCATGCAGAAACAACGGAGGGGGCTGTATTACCGGTGAGTTGGTCATTTGGCACGTTAAATAAATGACTTAAATAATAATAAAATATCTCCCATCACCTCTCTTCTCCTGAAAACAATCATGACCATACTTGCTAACCCTCCCGTTTGTCTTTGCCCTTTCACGTTTTCCTCCCAGGTTCCAGCAGTATTAATGTTACAGTAGGTGAATGGTGGAGACTACGCTGTTGACAGACTTAATTTTAGATTTATTTCTGAAACTGTGGCAGTTATAGCGAACGGTCCTCACACTTCTCAGTAGTCCATCCCTAAATATTTTCTAACATCACTTACAGCAGCTAAGGATGCACATTGTTAAATTAAATGAGCTACAAAGCTAACTAATGCCATGTTTATCAGTGGCAGAGTGCTACCCTTAATGAGCAGTTAAACTATAGTTATAGTCAATGGTTAAACCAGAGGGGACGTGTAAATAAACTTGAGCTGAACAAGTATCTAACACAGCTGCCTGCATTACAAAATTATAGTTCCTCTCTCAAATGTGCAACGTTAACATGAAATCTCAAAGTTGCAGGTCCTCGTTGTAGACAGTCATGTAGTATTAGATGCATTCAACAGCAGGGTTTCCTCTGGTTGACTGTGTCATAGTCGGTGTTTGAAAAATTCTCCTAACTTTGGCTAGCGTGCTGATAAAGGGATAAACTAAATGTGAATATCCTACATTGAAAATAGTCAGTGTGGCAGATTATGTGAAAGTTAATAACTACTGCACGACAAAAAATGTATTGCCTATCTAGGAGAGTGTTTATCATTATAATGTAATATAATAGTTGTAATGAGTAATATTTGATATTATTATTATTGTTAGTACTAGTAGTAGTCTGTTGTGTGGAGTTTGGCAGCTCCACACTACAGACTACATAAACTATATCCTTTAATGTTCATTAGTAGTGGTCTATAGTTTATAATGGATATTTAAATCTTTTTTGTAGTTTTGACTCTTATTTATCAAAACTTTCTTCAACGTTTTGTTATGTTATGTTATCTTGGTGAGGTCTCATAACAACAAATGTTAGGGATAATCTTTTTTATGTTATGTGTTTCTGAAAAGAAGGGAAAAAAATAGTATCAGCTGATATATCGGCATATCGAATTTTAAAATCCTTAAATATTGAAATTGGTCTTAAAAATCCAATATTGGTCGGGTTCTAAGTGTACATGGGACATAAAGAAGTATACAGAACTTTGATTCATTCAAAATCCTGTATTGCATATACATATTTTGCAAACATGTAATTTGTAATATGGTTATGACGGTGAGTTTGATGTTCATGTAGAGTAAATAGATGTCTGCGTGTTATTTATATGCTCTGATAATGCTAATCCAACACTAATCTTTGTAGTAGCATCCATGTTGATTCCACATTCCGACTTAAGAGCACATGAACACACACTGATGTTGGAAGAACGACTTCACAACTCAGGAAACTGTACCATCCGAGGAGCACGTGAATGCACTGTGAATTGCTGGTTGAAAATCGCAACCCTCACCACTAGATGCCACTAAAACTTACACACTGAACCTTTAAGGCACTTAAGCACTTGCTTCACTTTTCAGACCTGGAGGTTCACGCTTGGGAGTGTGTATATCTGTGGACCTACTTGCCCAGCTGATTCCTGGAAAGATCGAGGGTCCGGAGCTGAGAGCACTTCCACTTAATGGGGGCTGGGAGTGTCGCAATGTGATTCCCACATAATCTCAGCGAGACCAGAGCCTGATGGGAGGATGAGTGGGAAGGAGCAGTGAGAAGCTGTAAACCACACTTTCACATTTACACAATCACTTGTCTGACTGTATCACTGGTCAGCTTTTCTGTAGAATGATAAGAACATAATCTCTTGATGTCTTAAATGATTCATACATTCAAATCAGGCACTGACAGAATAACGCCAGTGGCCTAATACTTTTTTAGAATTTTTATAATCAGGAAAAAAAAAAAACACACCAGGAAAAGGAGTGTTCTTACCCCTTTATTCTGTTTTTCCTTTATTCCTTCTTTGTTGGTTTTATAATCAACAATGCAACCATTCCATAAACTCTATAAAGAAACCCTGAAGGTACTGGGTAATAAATCTAATTTTATAATTCCTAATAGCTTTCCTCTTTTCTGAACAGTAATGGTGTGTGTGTATGTGTGTGTGTGTGTGCGCGCTTGCTTGCTATTTAGATGATGGTCCCTACCTCCAGTTCAAAGATATATGAGGGCAACTCCTCCAGGCTGTTGTCAGAGAAGTCCACCTCCTGCAGCTGAGACCTCCAGAAGATAGAGATGGTGTTTGGAAGACTCTCAATCATATTGGAGGAAGCTTTACATTGCTTCTGCAGGGGAGGAAAAAGAATATCAGTCATTTACTATATACAGTATATACCGGCAATTTAGCAAATGTCAGCTTTTAAGATTTTGAATATTTCAGTAAATATCTTCTTCTTCTCTTGACCTAAATAATTATAGACCCATATCAATAATCTGTACAATTGCAAATGTTTTTGAAAAGCTAATTTATACTCAACTATTGAATTATCTTACAGAACCTGACATATTATCATCTTTTCAATCTGATTTTAGACCCAATCACTCCACTACCTCAGCCCTAATGAAAATTCATAATGACATAATCTCCTCCTCTGACCAAGGCAAATTAACAGGTGCAATTTCTGTTGACTTATCCAAGGCTTTTGATTTGGTGGATCATCATATACTATTACAAAAATACCATTGGACTTAGTCAGAATGCACTGACCTTGTTCAATGTGTATCTTGTTCTTAGTGATAGGAGGCAGTGTGTATTTATTGACAGGCTTCAGTCTGATCTTCTTGATATTAAGCAAGGGGTTCCACAAGGCTCTACACTGCAGCCCTTTCTCTTTTAATTTTTCATTAATGAACTCCCATCATTATGCAGAACTTCAAATATCCATTTATATGCAGATGTTATAGTAATCTATTCTGCTAGTTCAAATATATCACAGATATCTGCTTCTCTCCAGTCAGACTTTGATCTGATACAAAATTGGTTAGTAACAAATACATTAGTTCTTAATATACAGTAGTAAGATACAATACAAAGGCTTAAATCTGCTACTGATCATTTTTCTATCTCTACATCTGAGGGTGCATTACTCACTAAAGTTGATTGCAAAATATCTAGGGCTATGGATTCACTCTCAAGTATATAGACTATATATGTAAAAATAATTGCTGTTCTATTAGTGTCTTGTAAAGATCAAAGAACTGTTTCACCATGAATGTAAAAAGAGGCGGTTATCCCAGTTTTTACTGCCTTGACTACAGAGGCATCGTGTATCAAAATGCTTCAAAAACTGATCTGGCAAATGTTGATGTCATATTTAATAGTTTATGCAGCAACTGTATCAGCCCTCAAACAGTCTCTAGCTTTTGTTTGTTTTGTTTTCTTTTATATAAATGCTTAAAACTATGAACTGTGTTTATGACATTTAAGAGTTGATTGTGGAAAGGTATTTGATTAAAACCAAGCGGGAAGCTTCAGGTCTGTAGTGCAATTTATACTTCTGCGTCAAATCGACGCCATAGCCTGACGTGCACCTCCTCAAAAATATAACTACACGTCGAGGCAACGTGGACCGTAAGCTCTGTGATAGGTTGGCTGGGTAGCCTCGCAATGTATCAAAGCCGACAGGTAGTGCCCCGTGCTTTGAAGTAACTTTTACTAGCGGCCAAAACGGCGGCTGTAACACGGTGGATCAATATATTTGACTGTCCCAACCCGAGCGAAATGACTCGTTTCACCATCAGAATGTGATCCATTCGGTCAATAACATTTGAAACGGCTACACCCGCCGCACCTATACAATTTTACTCCCATTCCCGTTAGCGGAGGGCTAAACCGGAAGTTAGCCTGCTCGCCCGGCAAAAGTCAATACATTGGATGCTGTGGCGCTACTGCCGACTAGCGTTAAGGGGTGTAATTGCAGAATGACAGACACACCTACGCACAAGTATAAATGCATGGTTAAAACCTACGCAGGAGTATTTATGGGCCTTGTGACGTGACTCCAATGCGAAAGTCCCTGAAACCTGCATTCTATTGAATGGCCAGCAGGGGGCGACTGAACAATGGGAAAATGACCCTACTTCTCACCTGAATAATTACCCCAATAAACACTTTCCTGATGAGTTTATGGTCTTAATCACTAGTTTCAAGTCTTCTTCAATACAAAAATGATGTTCATTTAGTAAATTATAGTCCCATTTATTTTAAAATAGACCACAAAGCAGAGAATGTTTCAGGGCGGGATTATCTATGATATCAAGTCGTTACCATGGCGACCTGTTAATCAGGCTAGAGCCGACTCATACCCACGGCACTGTGTAAATTTAACCTGCGCCATTGAAAAAGCTTATTAGGAGTTGGCTGTTCACTTTCTCTGGTGAGAACATTCAGTTTTAAGCCTTTTGTTCGCTTGACAAAGTTATCAGCTCTGTTAAAATGATAGTTGAGGTGAGTTAGAGTTGCACCTAGCTAAGCAAGCTAGCTTGCTCCACACACGTCGTTGAAGTAATGAAGTGCTACATGATGTCTCATCCTCCTGTAATACATTATTTTAGATCTTGGGAGGGTTGGCTCATCTGGACTAACACCAAAGAAAATGAAGAATATCACATCTAGTGCATTAAGTATGACCACTGACAGATACCAGGACAATGTAAGCCTCACCGTTTCTGCACCACAGTCCATTATAAACCATACACATACATGAAGTTTACAAAGGCATAGTCAGGTGAGGATGAAGACTCCTCTCGCTTTGCTTAATTAGGTAAGCATGCAAATCTTACCAAAATGTCTTTTAAATTTTTTTTAAATGTAACAGAAACACAAAGTAGTACCTGCAGCCCTAATTTCAGTTTTTGGTAAAATGGTGCAACGGTTTAATGGGCATTTAGCATGTGAAAGCACAAATTACATATTTGTGTGCAAATAAAAAAAACTTCACAGTGGTGAAGCAATATCCAAAAAAACATGTTTTTTAATGCAAATTTGGAAAGTATTCATTATTTGTCACTTGATAGGCACACGGACTTGTTATAAATCACCATTAGCAGTAAAAAGAAATACATGTTTTCCACCAGGGCAGTAAAATGTGAAGTATAGCTGCTGATCTGAGCTCCATGCTGTTACCGTTTTATTGCCAATAATATTCATCATCGGTCTCAGGAAGGTAAGGGCACATTTCTGTCCATGTTGCAAAGCAGACTGCTGGAGAAGAACTACATGAAATTACAATCCAACAACATATTTTTTCTTCCAGCGCAGTAAATGTTTAGCTGCTGATCTGAGCTTCCAGCTGTAAGCTGCCGTTTATTGCTAATTAGTGATCAGCTGATTGTCTCACCAATGTATAAAAAAAATAATAAAATAAAAAAAACAGAGCTCTGCAGAGAGAGATTAACTACATGAAACTAATCCAACAACATATTTTTTTTCTACCAGGGCAATAAAGGTTTAGCTGTCTGATCTGAGCTTCCAGCTGTAAGCTACCGTTTTATTGTAATTAGTGATCAGCTGAACGAACATAACCAACAAAACCAAAACAGGGCGCTGGAGAGAGAGTAACTACATGAAATTAATCCAACTACATATTTTACTTCACAAGCCAAAGCCAATGCTGGAGACCAACCAATCCAACTAACCTTAAGTGTTTTTTCTACCAGGGCAGTAAAAGTTTAGCTGGCTGATGCTTCCGTGCTCTAAGCTAACGTTACAGCTGATTGTCTCGCTAATGTAACCGGCAAAGCCAAAACGCAGGCTAAAGAATAAGTAGGCCGCATGAAATTAATGCAACTACTGATTCACACCACTGACACAGGAAACACGTCACAGCTCTCTGTGATTATGGCCAGCTTCAAGCTAAAGCTATCAAACAACAGCTTTCATTTGCATCTCTAAAGTCTGACAAACTTAAATTAATTACCTGTCCAGCAAAAAACAGACAACTTCAGCACCACTACGAAAACATCTATCCCGCATTATAGGCTTCCATCTGGGAAAATCCACAACATCGGTGATTTCTGCCGTCAGCTATTTGTATCCGTCCAGACTCCTCTGGCTTCATGGTAGAAAGATCCACAGGCTGTCGGCTCTTGTGCTAAATAACGTTCATTTGTCTAAATGTCACTTCTCTTCTTATTTCTAATAAACCAGAAGACTACTCAGAGACTGTATATTATTGTTATTATTCCCTCTTCTTCTTCTATGGATGCATTTAATGAACGCTGTGATGACGAAACGTGCTCTGTGTTGCTGTTCGTTGACGGCTACGGTAGAAACATGACAACAAAATACTGCGACCTCCATAGAAGGGGGTGCCCGCGGTTTTGTAGATATAAATGTCTCATTCTAAGGTAATAAAAACATAACGGTTACTTATGTGAGGTCTTTATAGACCACTGAAAACATAGTTATGGATCTTATATTGCATTTCTGTCAACAGATCCTCAGAAATATTACACACTGAACATTTTAAGTGTGTGGAATGCAGTGAAGTCGCAGATTATAAGGTAGGTAGGTTTATTGTCATAAGTTATATAAGTTATACAGTGAAATTTTACAATTCCCTTCTGCTACATAGCAGACAATATACATTAATACAGAATCAGTTTTAATTAAAGCTGCAAGCAGCGATGAGCGAACACCTCCCGCTCCTCAGGGTGTGGTACGACTTCCTTCAAGTTGGGTTCTGCTGCATCCATGTATCCATTGTGTGTGTTCTGTCATTTCCACAAAGGAGTTAAGCACACCCGTTGAAAAGTAGGTGGCGTCGTCACTGTAATAGAAGCTTGGCATGTAGATGTCTACAGGCAGAACTTGAAGTTAACACTGCACATATCACATAGGTGATGTGTGGAAACCATGACTATGACCATCAACCATGACCATGTTCAGTCCATTTACACAGTTTTTCCTTTTTTATGGCGAATCATCAAATTTGACCGCCATGCCAGGCCATGCTATTGACACGCCGTTTGATCAATCAAAAAAAGCTTTGCAAAATTACATCACAAAGGTGTTGAGATGGCACAGCCCACATTTGAAGTTGATCTGATCAAATCCCTAGGAGGAGTTCGTTAAAATATGGAGGGTGTAAATGGAAAATCCTCGCACATTCAATCAAATATGGCTGACTTCCTGTTGGGTTTAGGTTAATGGTCCAAGAGGCTTATTTTTAAATCTGAACACGATACATATACCTACCAAGTTTGGTGAATGTAGGCCAAAGAGAAAGGAGGGAGCTTTGGTTTTGTGCACTCATGCACCAGCTATTTTCACCAGTTCGGACATGTGTGCCAATTTCTACAACTTTTCATGTATGTTAAGCCCCCCAAAAATGCGTTGAATGGGGAAGCATAAGAATACTAATAATTCTAACAAAACACAATAGGGACCTCACAGCGGTCGCTGTTCGGGCCTGAGAAATGGTACACAGAAATAAACTATAATCACTGGAGCAGTGCTGAGGATGAATTAGAGTTTAAGAGTCTGATAGCTTAGGGGGGAAAAGCTGCTCTGCAGTCTGGTGGTGCGGCAGCCGAAACTTCAATATCTCTTCCCAGAAGGCAGCAGGGTGAACAGGCTGTGGCTGGGTGGGTACTGTCCTTTAGTATCCTTTGGGCTCTGCAGACACCTCACCTCACCGATATCACTGATGCTCAGGAGATGGGTACCAATGATCTTCTGAGCCGTGCACATCCCATGCTGTTAGAGATGTTTTCAGTCAGGATGCTTTCTATTGCTCCTTTGTAAAAGCTGACAAGAACATGAGTGGGAATTTGGCCTTCTTAAGTTTCCTCAAGAAGCGTTTCTGAGCTTTCACCAGCGTGGAGATGTAAAATGACCATGTCAGGTTCTCTGTGATGCTGATTTACTCATGTTCACTCTCAGCAGGACTCTCCTCACATCTGCTGTGGATACTGACAGGGGCCGGTCCTCTGGAGGTGGAGTAGACTTTACAGCTGACTCCTTGTTGAGGAGATCAAAGCGAGCGTAAAAGGTGTTAAGTTCATCTGGTAATGTGGCCTCACACATGATGGGGGAGCTCCTGCTTTTGTAGCCTGTGATGTTCTTGATGGTCTGCCACATATCTCTGGTGTCGCTGGTGTTGAGGTCTCTCTCCAGTCTCTGCTGAGGTCTCCGCTTCCCCTCCTTGATACCAGCTTTTAGTCTCTCCCTGGTGGTGCTGTAAGCTTCTTTATCACTAGACCGAAAAGCAGCTTTTTTGGCTCTGGACAGAGCCCTCACCTCTCCATTCATCCAGGCTTTCTGATTGGGGAATGATTTTATCATCTTAGTGATCACCACATCATCAACATATATGCTGATGTATGATGTCACTGATGATGTATATTCCTCAAGGTTGATGTGGCTCTCCTGGATGGCAGCCTCTCTGAACATACTCAAATCCGTGCTCCCAAAACAGTCCTGTAGAGCTGCTGTAGATTCATCTGTCCACACTTTGACTATTTTAATTGCTGGCCTAACCCTTTTACCTACCACCCCCATAACCCAGAACTCTGGCCTGAAGGTTCTGTTGTGCGGCGATACTATGAGCCACGTAAGGCAGAATTGACGGGTTTGGTGAAGATTAGTGTACCCAGTTCAACACTTGGAGCAGCTGTACCGATTGGGGCTATGGCAGTACCGTCCTCTTAAATTCTTCCATGCGTGTTGTATCTTACAGCTGTCAGGGGCAGCAGCGCAGGGGACAGGGCCCAGCATGTAGTTGTTGATAACTTGTTGCAAAGCTGTGACATTTTATGTTTACAGGAAACATTTTTACCTAGACAAGATTTGGGACAATTTAACTCTTTTAAAGACAATTTCCACGGTGCTGGTGAATCTACAACAAACCTCTCTATCGGAATAGTGAGAGAAAGGATAGCAGGAGGTGTAGCTATCCTCTGGCACAAAAAGTTGGACTCAGTGATAAAAGTCATAAGGCTGGAAGTTGACTGGTGCATTGCAGTACAGTTAGAGTTTAACAACAAAAAGTTTATTATCCTTAACGTATATACACCATATGAGTGTCAGCAGAATGAGGATGAATACTTGAATAGACTTTCTTTATAAATTATTTTATTCTTGATAATCATTCCACGAGTGTATAGGTGTTTGGTGAAATGAATGTTGATCTTTCAGACAGAAGTTCATTGTTTGCTAAACATATGTAACAGTTTTGTGATGACAATAACCTTATATTATCTAGTCAACTGTTGTTACCTGCAGATAGCTAGTCTTACATAAGTGAAGCCTGGCACACGACATCATGACTTGATCATTGCATTAGCACAACAGATGCCCATGCTATTTTGCGTTATACTGTAGGAAAACATATATTCTTCTGAGTATATTTACCAAAAAGTGCAATTCAGTGTTTTAATTTAAATTGTAATGATAATGCTCATCGTGAAGCTCTTTGTGCTATGTATGATTGTATTGTGGGAGCTGTGTTGACCATACTTTACTTACTCTGATAAGGCACATAACATCAAGCCAGGTTGGAGTAAGTTGCAGCTGCACATAATGCGGAAGCTAAGGAGGCATTTAAAGCTTGGGTTCTGGCTGGTAGACCCAGACAGGGACCTGTCCTGGACCTCAAAAAGATCACTAATGCTAGGTATAAATATGCAGTTTGTTATGTTTGCAAACACAAGCAAGTCATGAGAGTGGACTCTATGGCTGAAAAGCTACTTTGTAATAATACCATTGACTTTTGGAAGGAGGTGAGAGCCCTAAACAAGAGTAACCAGAGTATGCAGGTTAGATGGGTTAATAGAGTCTCTGCTCCGTTTGGCGTCAAGAGTACAAAAAGGGGGGTTACTCTCCACAGCCCTCTTCAACATGTATATGAAAGATTCATCAAAACAACTAAGAGGCTGCAAAACTGTCTGTATGATCGGAAACGCTCTAATAAATCATCTTATGTATGCCGATGATCTGGCTATTGTTTCTCCTAGCAGTGCTGGATTTCAACATGTGGTGAATCTTCTGAATATGGGGTCAAATATGATGTGCAGTACAAGGTTAAGAAGACTGTCGTCATGATATGAAGAACGAAAGGGAATTAAGGACCTCAAACTTTGCATTTTTTTTATCTGTCAGGGCAAGCGCTAAGTATTTGTAATAAAACAAAATAACTGGGGCATTTCTTCACAGTTCAGTTGTCTGATGACCATGACATGTATAGGCAGTGTCCTATGCTTGCTGCTCAAGCAAATATGTTAACAAGAAAATTTTATATGTATCAGACCATATTAAGATAAGGCTCTTTAAAGCATATTGCACTCCTCTCTATACTTCCCATAATGGGTCAAGTTTAAAAAGACAACCATACATAAGGTTCAGGTTGCCTATAATGACTGTATGCGGATATCGCTTAAAAAACCTAGGTGGTGTAGTCCAAGTGACTTGTTTTGTAAGAGTCAACACTTTCCAGGCTCTACTGAGAAATCTGATGTACAAATTTATCTGGCGACTAGATGGCTCTCAGAACAGAAATATTAAGCTGCTGACAAATCCTAGTAATAGTGTTGTACAATACCAGTCACCTCTGTGGAAGCATTGGTGTAACTGTCTTTTATAAAAATCGCCCATTTTTTCTGTGCTTTTGTATTTGTTGGTAATTTAGGAGGTGCTGTGTCTCTAATGCTGATGTACGTTTTTCTAATGGACCTTGAGTCTGTCAATAAAGTTGGACTGAACTGAACAATCAACAATCAAAACATCTATAATGGACTAATTTCAGTGATGGACTACTTACAGACGGTTTCTTAACTAGTAAGTATACAGTTATAGTGAAATATGTCAGATGACCTCCATAGAGTAATACCCGAAATATCAAATATGGACGACAGCAACTGGAATATTGTATTTTGATTAAAAGAAAAATTCTCTGACATTAGCAGATATAACAGGAAGTGGATCAGTTTGGTTTCTTACCAGTGGACATGCCCAGGGGTCAGGGAAGGTGCTCAGCTTGTTCCTGCACACATTGAGGAATCTGAGGGATTTCAAGCAGTGCAGGACAGCGGTAGGCAGACTGGTCAGACAGTTATCAGACACATCCAGCTCCTCCAGCTTACGAAGGCCGATCCAGTTAGTGGCTGACAGGATTAAATGAAAGAACACAACCACAGTTTACATCAGACTTGTACGAATGACAAACTAATGACAAAAGTCCGTCCAGCAGCTGTTACTCTAAATCAGTTTGAATCCATTTTTTAAATGTTTTAAATATATGCCAACTAGCATCTAGTGTTTAATAACAAACTTGTATTGATTAACAATAAATCCACGCTGGATTTCAAGAACAAACAGTTAAGTAGTGCCCATACAATGGGTTACTAAGACGAGCATAGAAGATTAATCAATAACTATTTTGTGATAATTATATATTTTTTTTTTCTCTTTCATATCATTGTAAAATAAATATATTTGAGTTTTGGACAGAACAAGACATCATGTTGGACTCTGATGGGAAACTACGGACATTCCAAGATTTGTCTTTGGCTGTCATCCTACAGACAGATGGTTTGTCTGGCTTCTGATAGTCCATTTAGGTAATGACTTCCAAGTGAACAACATCACTGACACAAACTTCTGGACAAAAACATTATAAAATATATCACTAGACTCTGAAGTTTAATTTTGTTTAGTTTTTAGCTTTTTTTTTACTTTCACAAAATGTGTACCCCTGCCTGTCATCCAGCAGCAGGACACAGAGTGTGCAGCCTGAAATTCAAACAGGCATCTTCCCGGAGGCCTTCAAAACAACTGTTTTAAAACCTTTACTAAAACCCAACCTAGACAAAATGCACTGAGCATCTTGAAGGTTGGTTGGTCTTTGTGACTGTGTTAAACTGGTTCAAACACATATATCCAAGGGAGGAAGTTTTATGTCGGTCTTGGAGATCATGTGCGGGGGGGCTTCAGGTCGCGGCTGTGCAAAGCTGCCTTTGGGGTGTGTGGGGATCTGTGGTTCGGGGCTGTAGTTCTCTGGATCTTGGGTAGGTCTGTGTGAGCTGGGCTTCCCTGGGTCTTCCCTAGGGCTGGGCGGGGTGGCCGCTCTGGGGGGCTGCCGGGGATCGAGGGGCTCTTACCACAAGCCCTGGGGCTAGATGGACCTGGCGTCGTCCTGCCTGCGGGGGCGGGTGACGGGGGTTAGGGGAGGACCATTCCTGCCTAGCCTCTCTATGACCTCTTCCACCTCTCCCTCCGAGTTATGTCTCACTACACACACAACCCCGATGTGGCTCTCTGCCGTTCTTCCTTGGGACGCAGCGCGGCTGTGCCCGGGGCATGTGATCTCGGGTCCTTCAAGCTCTATGGGGATTGCAGGGTGCCCTGGATGCTTGCGTTCTCACCTGCCTGCCGCTGGGGTCGGTGCATTGCTGTTAGGGCACCCCATTATCACTAACAACCACATTCCATGACAGGCTTGTGCACACATGCATGCACGCACGCACACACACACACCGCCACACATTTACGTCTACATCCACTCACACACACGCACACACACACTTACGCCTAGACTGGCAGTTTTTTTCTGTGGTTTTTGTTGTTGCTGTTCGGCTTGTTGTCTCCTGTTGTCTCTCTCTGCCCTTTTTTCTTTTTTTCCCCCCTCCCCATTCTCCAGCATGTTTCTTTGCTTTCGGCAATTGATGTATTTTCTTTTCCTGTTGTCACCCAGTTCTTCTTTTAAAATGTTGTACTTTACTTGACTTTATGTCATATCTATGTACTCTGTATTTACCCTTATTTTTACTATTATTATCAAGTGGGATTTCTATTTATATTTTTCATCTTATTTTACATTAATCATGGCATTTTATGTTAATTATATGTCTGCATTTCTTAACTAGGGACAAGGATCGTACACAATATGCAACACATCTAATCCATGTTATTGTAACCTGTTGTTTGTTGCATTGTCCCTGACACATAAATTAATACATTAAAAAAAGTATATATATATATATATATATATATATATATATATAAAAATTCCCCCTCTCACCCCTTGCGGGGTGGTATGCGTCATCCTCAAGCTCGGGTCCTCTACCAGAGAGGCCTGGGAGTTTGAGGGTTCTGTGCCGTATCTTAGCTGTTCCTAGGACTGCACTCTTCTGGACAGAGACCTGGAATCTGCTGTAGCCACTCTCCCAGTTTGGGGGTCACAGCCCCCAGTGCGCCGATTACCACTGGCACCACTGTTGCTCTTACTTTCCACATCTTTTCTAGCTCCTCTTTCAGCCCTTGGTATTTCTCAAGCTTCTCGTGTTCCTTCTTCTTGATGTTGCTGTCGCTTGGGATTGCCACATCTATCACTGCAGCCTTCTTCTGCTGTTTGTTGATCAACAAGATGTCTGGTTGGTTTGCCATCACCAGTTTGTCAGTCTGGATCTGATCCTGAACATCTCCAATGTGGCCTTCTGGTAGTTAAACCCCCTCGGTTCTGATCATTTTCCCTCTTTTTGATACCATGCGACCACACTTGTCCAGTCCGAACGACATTCCAGTGTCGCTGCTGTAGATCCCGGTAGTGTGGATCAGTGAGTCGATGTCTCACTCATTTCTGGCATACAGCTTGATGTCATCCATGTAGAGGAGGTGACGGATGGTTGTTCCACTTAGGAACCGGTATCCGTAGCCAGTCTTTGTGATGATCTGGCTGAGGGGGTTCAGGCCTATGCAGAACAGCAGCGGGGATAGTGCATCACCTTGGTATATGCCACACTTGATGGTGACTTGTGCAATTGGCTTTGCGTTGGCTTCCAGACTTGTTTTCCACAGCCCCACTGAGTTCTTGATGAAGGCTATTAGTGTCCTGTTGATCTTGTACATTTCCAAGCATTCCAGTATCCAGGTATGTGGCATTGAGTCGTAGGCTTTCCTGTAGTCAATCCAGGCGGTGCACAGATTGGTCTGCCTGGTCTTGCAGTCTTGAGTGACCGCTCTATCAACCAGTAGCTGGTCTTGGCTCTCCTGGTGTTACTGCCCATTCCCATCTGGGCCCTGTCCATGTATTGAGCCATAAGCCTACTCATCTTAGCCGCTATGATGCCTGACAGGAGCAGTCAGCAGTAGGTTCATTTGTGCTGCCAGGTGTTTATGGAGTGCAGTTAGTTTCTTCAGCCAGTAGGTGTGGATCATGTCAGGGCCTGGTGCTGTCCAGCTCTTCATACCTGCCACTCTTTGTTGGATGTCTGCCATTGTAATGGTTAATGGATCTTGTTCTGGGAGATTGCTGTGATCTGTTCTTAGATCACACACACACACTACCGTTCAAAAGTTTGGGGTCAATGCCCTTATTTTCGTAAAGAAAAGCACTGTTTTAATCAATGAAGATAACATTAAATTAATCAGAAGTACAGTCTAGACATTATTAATGTGGTAAATGACTATTCTAGCTGGAAACGGCAGATTTTTAATCAAATATCTACATAGGTGTACAGAGGCCCATTTCCAGCAACCATAAATCCTGTGTTCTAATGGTACATTGTGCTAGCTAATCATGTTAAAAGGCTAACTGATGATTACAAAACCCTTGTGCAATTATGTTAGCACAGCTAAGAAATGAAGGCTATTCCATGCGAGAAATTGCCAAGACACTGAAGATTTCCTACAACTGCACTACTCCCTTCAGAGAACAGCTCAAACGGGCACTAACCAGAATAGAAAGAGAAGTGGGAGGTCCGGGTGCACAACTAAGCAAGAGGAGTAGTAAGTACATTAGAGTCTCTAGTTTGAGAAATAGACGCCTCACAGGTCCTCAACTGGCAGTTTCATTAAATGGTACACTCAAAACGTCAGTCTCAATGTCCACAGTGACTGGCCACTCCGGGATGCTGGCCTGCTAGGCAGAGTTTCAAAGAAAAAGCCATATCTGAGACTGGCCAATAAAAGGAAAAGATTAAGATGGGCAAAAGAACACAGACATTGGACCGAGGAAGATTGGAAAAAAGTGTTGTGGACAGTTGAATCAAAGTGTGAGGTGTTTGGATCATACAGAAGAACATTTGTGAGACCCAGAACAAGTGAACAGCTGCTGGAGGAGTGCCTGACTGGTGCAAACTCCTGCATGGTGGAAGTAATGTGATGGTCTGGGGCTGCTTTGGTGCTGGTGAAGTGGGAGATTTGTACAAGGTAAAAGGGATTTTGAATAAGGAAGGCTATCACTCCATTTTGCAACGCCATGCCATACCATGTGGACAGTGCTTGATTGGAGCCAATTTCCTCCCACAACAGGACAATGACCCAAATCACACCTCCAAACTATGCAAGAACTATTTAGGGAAGAAGCAGTCAGCTGGTATTCTGTCTGTAATGGAGTGGCCAGCGCAGTCACCAGATCTCAACCCTATTGAGCTGTTGTGGTAGCAGCTTGACTGTATGGTACGTAAGAAGTGCCCATCAAGCTAACTTGCGGGAGGTGCTTCAGATAAGATACTGATTTCAAATAAAAAAAATCAGTTTTTCTAACCTTGTCAATGTCTTGACTGTGACTTGAATGACTATATTTTCTATTCATTTTGCAACTCATTTGATGAACAAAAGTGTGAGTTTTCATGGAAAACATGAAATTGTCAGGGTGACCCCAAACTTTTGGAGGGTAGTGTAAATATATATAGTTTATATACACTGAACAAAATTATAAACGCAACACTTTTGTTTTTGCCCCCATTCGTTATGATTTGAACTCTAGATAGATCTTTCTCAGTGCACATGGTACATTGGTTGTGAGGCCGGTTGGATGTACTGCCAAATTCCCCGATATATATATATATATATATATATATATATATATATAAATAAAACAAACAATAGTTATATATATATGTTGAGTTGGAACATACTGGTAGGGATGTTAAATAGGATTGTGAGCTGGTTCTTGGCAGCAGAAAGTCTCCGGATGTTGGTCAGATGGAGAAATCCCGGTGGCAAACTGGTGAGCTGGTTCTCAGACAGATTTACCTGCTTTAAACTGAAGCACAAAAAAGAGGGAGGCTGAAAGGGGCAGAGATGTGTTTGCTATATACTGTACTTATGTGAGGGAATACTTAAACACTGACATTTTGGGAAATAAGCTTGTTTGTCATTTTATCCAAAGTGGGAAGAGATGACCAATATTAATTTCATCTCGTTGTGCACAGTAACAGAAACAGTTCAGGACATATTATAGATCAGCAGTACTGGGAAGATTGGGAGCAGGGGGACATGCATTTATTTATATTGTTTTATCAGTGTTTAACACATGCAGAAATAGAAAACGAGACATTGTGGTTTCAGGAGCAGTTAGCATTTGCACTGGAGCCATTTCTTGACCACTAACAAAGTGGATTCAGCATCTCTCAGCAGATCCTGCCTCACAGGGGAGTTCCCAAGGTTGGATGGATCGCTTGCTAGCCAATATAGTAAGACTGTTTTCAAAATTCAAGATTAAAAGATTCAAAGTGTTTATTGTCAGATGTTCAGGGAATTCTTTCTTTGCTGTCCACATCAAATGCCTATAATAAAAAAATAAAATTCAATAAATAGAGATATAAATTATAAGATTCAAACATAAAAATGTAAACTTCAGATGTAAAAAAATTTAAAATATAAAACATTAACTTCATTTGCGGGTCATAGCAGTAGTGCTGCCATACCACATCAGGATGCTCTTTGTTGACTACCGCTCTGCTTTTAATACAGTCATCCCCCACAAACTGTCTGCGCTTGGACTGTACTCCACGCTCTGTGACTAGCTCCTGGACTTTCTAACTGGCAGGCCCCAGTTAGTCAGAATTGGCAGCAGAACTTCAGCCACCATTATAGATGTTAACAATGTTTTTGTGTCAAGTTAAAAGTCTGACTTTATTCTCAGAATTCCAACTTTAAACTTAAATAAATACATTTTTCACATATGGCCGTAATCTGTAGAAATCAGATGACCATGTTGGCCTGAAATCAGTTTTCAATTATCAGTCAGATGAAGAGTCTCCAGCAGGGAACCAATGTGGTAATGATCTATTTGCAATTACACAACAAATGTAATTAACTTGAGGACATCCATTATATTCAAGACAGAGGACACTGACTAGATGCTATTCTGGTAAAAATATATATGCAGTCTCAGCTGCATTTAGACCAGACGACCTCCTGCCATGTGTACCTGGAGCAGATGACTTCTTGGGAATTGTGAGAAGCGGGCAGCTCTTTTAGCAGGTTGTTAGAAAGATCTAGGGTCTGCAGGTGGATGAGACCCCAGGGCACGACAGACGGAAGAGCAGCCAGGTTGTTGGACGACAGATCCAGGTGGTTGATACGTGAGGAGACATCCATGAACCAATCCAGCTCCAGCCAGGGCAGCTGCAGACCACTCCAACATACACTGACAGCCTGCTTATATCATGAAGATATACTTGTTACTGAATTGAATACTTTTTTCATGAGCAAACATTCCTCAAAGCTGCACTGAAATTTTATTTACTTTTTTACAATCCTTAACTTTTATATTTAGTCCATTCAAGATCCATTGAAGACAATTTGTTTTTTGTAAATCCTGCACTTTGTTTAGTAATAGTTTTATTTTGTTTTCAATTTCATGTACTCATTTTTATTTCCATAGACAGGTTTCTGATTTACAATCAAGGATGTGTGTTAAGTTTGGGCCAATAGACAATCGTCCATCGGCGATGGCTGACAGTACATCTTAATGTTGAGCCTGCTCTCTGTGTTCTCTGTTGCTTTACCTGGACCCTGCTTGTCAAATATCTACCGTGTCCGCGACCAGTAACGTAATAGGCTACAGAGTTTTTTACCAAAGGAAGTCTATGCGAGTGAACTATAGTTATGAGTGTTCTGCCTCCCTTTTCCAAGTTTCCAGCAAGCTGATATTTCTAAATACCAAAAATGTCAATAAACTGACATTTTTGGTATTTAGCTTGCTGGAAACTTCTAAAATTTCTTCTTACTGTGTTCACACAAACTTATTCGTGCAACATTGTTTCGATTTGTGTCTATTCAATGCAAATAGATGCAAATTTGCACCGGCAATGCAAATGACTTGAACTGGGCGAAACTTGTGTGGGGAGGAACGGGCAGAGCCGCTGCTCGCCGACTACAGCTAGTGAGTGACAGGAAGCTCTGGAGGGGAGAGCCGGGGCCGGTACTGAAGTTTTTGGACAAACACACACCCATAGTCGCACTGGATTCTGCTTTGATCTGGAGCTCAGAGTTAATTTCTTTTATTAGATTAACTTTTTTTTTTTTTTATGTTTGGGATTAAAAAGTTGATTTATCTTCACTCGTACTTCTCAACCTGTCTTACTGTAGCACTCTGTTGCACAGAGCTGTGATACTACTTCATATTTACACAGAAACCAACACAACAGGACATTGCTTAGAGAAAAGTAAGCGAGGAAGCTGAACTACTTGGTAAGTTCAGTAAATTTATGTCTGTTACTTGATTCCAGCTATCGTACTTTACTATAGCCTGGTCGTTCCAAACGCCATTTGACAGACCTGACAAAGCATGAATTCATATGTTTAGGAAATCAGCATCCATTTGATGTGTTTCTTGCAATTAAATCCCAACAAAATGTTTTTATTATTTTTTAGTTCATACTGCCGTAGGAAACCAGATTAAAGGTAATATTGTATTTACTGGAGTTCCGCAAATAAACACAAATGGTCCAATGGTCAAACTCACGCAAGTAATGCAAGGAGAAAATTCACTTTTAGTTGTATGTGAACACACCATAATAGGACATTTGTATGCGTCACTCGTCCACACATTTCCAAAACTAAATGGCACAGTTGATGGGCATCTGTCAGCTCTGGCTAGCTACTGTAACATGACACATTGCAGCCGCTAGCAGGGAATTTACTAACACAGACTACATAAAGTTAGTTCTGCAGGTACTGAGAGTCAGTGTGAGTTTCTTATAGGATTGCATGATACTGACAAAATGTGATATTGTGATTTATTGTGACAGGGCAACTTCCCAATGAAACATGATCATTATACAGAGATTCCAAGAAGGCTCAGAAACCCATTATCATTATCCCCCTTTGTTTCCGGAACACACACCTTCTCTCCTTCTGCGCTGGAGGTTTCCTGGAGTTTAAGTCTGAGCAGGTGTTTGCTGAAGGCTGGATGGTCCATCAGAGTGTATGAGGAGAATCCTGCTCCATTCTGCAGTAGGAAGTGAGCTATCTCCTCGTTCCCTACAACACAAAACATACTACTCATTCTTCTCCTCCACCACTCACTGTTAGCAGCAGTACCAGAGATAAACAAAGTGCTCACTCAGCATCTTTCCCCAGAAGTGTTCCAGGACTTTTGTAAATATGTGTCCTTACATGTTTATAAAAGCATTTGAAGATTTCATTGTCAAAAGGTCTGCTCATTTGAAGCAGAGTACTAAATGAAGTCACCTTCAGAGGGAACTTAATGGTACCACTTTGCCAAAACGTAAAGTATAGACTATAAATACAGAGCTCAAGTTGTAGCCCACAGCTAAGACTCCATGGCAACCATTTACTTCCTGTTTACATTCCCCAGAGACCCCAAATTATGGGAACTGTAGTTCCAAAACTTAGAGCAAGATTATCCCCCATATAGAAGTAAGCCAACAAATAATAGGGGTGACAAGACACTTTTTCATGTTGCACAACCAATATTCAAGTTTAAAATTGTTTTACAATTTAAAAAAACCCCAAAACCCTAGTTCAGGCAATCAATCTGGCGTTGTGACTCCCCTCAAAATTAATGTAAAAAAAAAACTGACCTGGCAGAACAATTCTAAAATTAGTCGGGGGCAACCAACTAGTTGTTAAACTGGGCTCAATCCAGGTCTAGCTTTAGTCTTGAATTGGGGTTTGTTCAATGACAATAAAGCTTTCTGATTCTGATGATTCTGGGTTTTTTTTGAGACAGTTTCCATTTTTGGATAAAAGCATTTAAGATTTCGGGCCCTATTTTAATTGCACAAGCACAAAGATAAGTGCATCTAGGGCGTAAGGACTGTGTGTGCTTCTCCGAGTGCACCTGCGATTTTGGTTCGTATATGAGTAGCAGAGCAAAGTGCAGCAGCCACATTACTGGTCTCATCACTCTGAAACAGCAGTGCTAATAACAGGGAAGCATAACAACAATAACTCAACAAATATCTCTCGATCTGTTGAGCTACACAAAGTACCACAAAATTGCTAAAGGCAGATAATATGGAAACTAAAATAATAAACATTGTTAAAGGCTGTTCAGTTTTAATTCTACTGTATGACTTTCTTTTAGAAATGGTCACATCAAAATGTGACAACAGCGGTGGCACGGTAAAGCATTTCAAGAAAAAAAAAACTTTTGTTAGAAAGAAAGTTGGAAAGGAGGCAATGACATACAGGACTGATGAGCTGCTGATCCAACATCTCATCTGGAGTGGATTTTCTCGGTTGTCTAAAACCTGTAGACTGATTTCTATTTAAAGGAGTCTATTGGGGGGAAAAAGGAAAGGATGTAACATATATGCATGTTCCCGAGTGCCTTCTCTTCCACTCCCTTTGCAACACTAGCTAAATTTAACTTAGAAATGGAGTCTGCTAACGTCAACAAACGACTAGCACCCACCACAACACAGAGTCCAACACAGACTGGCTACAGAGTCCAACACAGACTGGCAAACCTTGCTTGCTCGCTAACATTATCATTAGGACAATACTATATTATTGCATAATCAAAGTGGCTCTCTCCAAGCTGGGTGAGTTTAGCTCTAATCCTGGCTCTCTTCACTCTCTTCCCAGGGTAACTGCAACACTTGCAGTGGCGTTTGGTCCGCCTGGTCTGGCTAGGTAGTTGGAAGATGCCATGGGAAGTGATAGTCCCAAGGTCTGCTGCACTAAATCCAATCCCTGCACTTCCGTTTCTAGTGTCAATGAGTGTATTTCTGTTATAGGCTGCACCGTCGTATAGAGTATCTAACGATTGCTTTCTACTGGCCAACAGCAATGCAAGACAGGGGAGGCCAAATAGCTAACTGATACCGATACCCAGGAGGATCACGTCTAAGGAGTGTGAGAGCTAGCAACAGCATGCTGCCTGCAGTTTAGTCACTGGTGTCATTAATAACAAGGGTTTTCTGAAAATTACACATAGAACCTTTAACAAAGTTTCAATAAATATAAATTAGTTATCCAATATTCATTAATCCAGCTAACACTTCTCAGCATGTTTCCTTGATGGATAGCCCAACTCTGATCATTGAACGAGGTAAGACAGATGAAATATTAATTCAGGAAGTTAAAGCAGTGTGTAATATTTAGGAGGATCTATTGACAGAAATGCAATATAATACACATAACTATGTTTTCAATGGTGTACAAAGACCCTTCATAATGAACCGTTACGTTTTTATTACCTTAGAATGAGCCATTTCTATCTACATGCACCGCGAGTCCCCTTACATGGAAGTCGCCATGTTGGCCGTATGTTTCTACAGTAGCCCATAACGGACAATCTGCTCTACAGAGCGCGTTTCATCACTAGGTTCTTCTTCTTCTTGTGGAATTCTAGCAGTGTAGAAGCTCATCACTACGTTGAATATCTATACGAAGAAGAAGAATAAGTAGCAGTAGTTGTACAGTGTGGTCGTAGTCGTCTGGTTTATTAGAAGTAAGAAGAGGAGTGAAATTTGGACAAATGAAGGACCACATAGGAACAAAGAGTGTAAATAGTCAACGTCGAAGAACATGATGAAGCCAGAAATCACGGATATAAACATCGGTGTGGCTTTTCCCAGATGGAAGGCGCTGATGTGGGACAAAGATTTTCGAAATGCGAGTCCAAAGTTGCCTGTTTTCTGGACAGGTAATTAAGTTAGTCCAACTTTAGCAATGCAAATGAAAACTGTTATTTAGCTTTAGCTAGAAGATAGGCATAATCATAGAGAAAAATGAGTGACCATCCACGCTTGTGCACTAGATGGGTTGGTGAGGTTTATCACTCAAAATTCCATTCTAAATCAAGAGGGGCAGCTTCTTGATTTGGAAGTGAATTTTGAGGTGGGTCTCCTGAAGAAAAGCGATATCTACCTTTAACTGATGTAAATACGTCAGAACCTTCTTGCGTTTCACACGATGGTTCATCCCCTTAACATTCCAGCTCACAAATTGAATTGGGCTTCTAGCCCCCCCTCCTGTGGTCACACCATATGAATTTAGAATTCCCAGATCGATACAGACACTAAAGGCAGATATGTTATTGTTACATGCAAATTAAATAATACGCCATTTATCTTAGCTAGTGTCTATGCCCCTAATTGGAATGATGCCACACATTTTTCACAAATTTTTTCTCCAGACTGACCCAACTTGGACCGTAGCTCTGCAAAAAATGTGCCAATTTCTAAAACTGCCCTATCAATTCGGCTTTTTCTTGACATCTATGGTATTACTGATGTCTAGCGTTTTCTCAATCCCACCACCTGTAAATATTCTTTCTTTTCAGCTGTCCTCAAGACATTTTCACGCATTGATTACATCTTCATGGATAAGCGTTTTTTTATTTCTTCAGTTCAACAACGTGATTATCATGCGATTGTAATCTCTGATTATGTTCCGCATATGTTAAGACTTGATCTTCCAACCACGAAACCTGCCTACAGACCATGGCGACTCAATCCACAAAAAATTTCAGATTTAATTTCTTCACAGATTGGTTTATATTTAGAAATTAATCTGAGATCTGGTGTGTCACCGTCAATAATCTGGGAAGCACTTAAAGCTTATTTAAGAGATTATTTCTTATACCATGCAGCTACGAAAAGCTAGGAACAGCTGTTTTAATGAATTAACTAACAAAATTGGTGACCAAAATTGATTCACAGTTGGCAATATCAACCTCGGCTGATCGGGTTAAGGAACGCCTGCTCTCAAAAAGAATTTGATCTTCTTACTACACCGAAGGCTGAGAACCTATTGATCAAATCTCGCCTCACATATTATGAACATGGTGATAGATCAGGGAGGATTCTTGCACACCAGCTCCACCAAAAAGCAGCAAATCAGGCAATCCCTGAGATCTGTGACGAAACTGGTAAGGTCTGTACAGATCATGTTGCCATTAATTCGCGCTTTATGAGGTTTTATCGTAATTTGTATATGTTCGCTCACCATCTTGAAACTGTCCTTCCAACTATAATCTCACTGGACCAGACAGGCTTCATAAAAAATTGACAATCCACCTTTAATATCCACCGTCTGTATAACATAATTTATAGCCCCTCTCTTTGCCATAGTAGCTTTGCGTAGCAGTAAGGATGTTAAGGGTGTTACAAGGGCAGGATTGGAACATAAAATTTCCTTATATGCGGATGATATGTTACTTTACTTGTCTGACCCTTCCTCATCTCTTCCAGCATTCCTTAACCTTTTGAGCAATTTTGGCAAAATCTCTGGCAAAACAAACACTCATAAGAGCAAAATGATGCCTGTGAATCTGGCAGCGAGAGAATCGCTGTTTATCCTCACAATGCAGTTTAAAGTGCGTATGGACAAAATAAAATATTTGGGTGTATGGGTAAAACACAAATTTAAAGACCTCTTTTCAGCAAATTTCCCCCCTATATATTTCAGTGTGTTCCAGTCTTTTTAACCAGTTCGTTCCTCATTTCCCTAGACAGAAAGCTTTCTTCCTTCATTTGGAATAAAAAGGACCTGCGTATACGGAAAGCTATACTGCAAAGACCAAATCAGTAGGGAGGTCTTTAATTGCCAAATTTTCAGTTCTATTATTGGGCAGCAAATATTAAATTGCTAATTGGATGGATTGGAACAATTCAGACTATCCTTTGGAATTGGTAAACTCAGTACAGTACTCTCTCCCATTGTAAAGAATCACACATTTCTGCCATCTTTGACGGATACTTCATTCAGTTCTTGGCATGCATGTGGGGTCTGCTCTTTTAAAAACATGTTCATAAATGGTTTGTTTGCCTCTTTTGAACAGCTTAGTCAGGAGTTTAATATTCCTCAAACACATTTCTTTAGATACCTTCAGATTTGCAGCTTCTTAGCTTCAAATATCGTTCAATTCGCCTCACAGTTCACAGATATCCTCTTGGATTCAATTATTGATATTACTTCATCTAGAAAGGGGAAGATATGTGACATATACTCTTTATTAATGAGAGAAAATATGACCAGTTTTAACTCCCTCAGAGCCCAGTGGGAAGCAGATCTCGGAATTGAGATCTCTGAACCACTTTGGTGAAAGATGATCGGGAGAATATATTCATCTTCGATATGTATGAAGCATACTATTATGCAGTTTAAAATTCTCCATCGTTTGCACTGGACCAAAGTTAGACTATTATGGCTCTCACCCAATATAGGTTGATCTGTGATCGCTGCAAGTTGTACCAAGCTACACTAATGCATATGTTTTGGGACTGCCCTAAGTTGTTAAACTTTTGGCAGCTAATATTTGATGTGCTTTCCAAGACGACTGATGACCTCTTATAACCATTAACTTCCCTTGCTTTATTCGTTGTAGCAACACAAACTCCTGCATTAAAACAGTGAATTGTCTTATTGTATTAACAAAACTCAGAAATAAACATTGCTCAAATGAATAGGATTTTCCCACGGTATTTCAGCTTCAATTATAGCGCCACCTTTAAGCCAAATTGCACCAAATTTGTCAGGTGTCATCAGGGGCCCATGGGGAACAATTGCCCTATATTTGGAATGAATCGGACTTGTGTTTATGGAGATATAAAATTAATTTTTTTTGACGTCTTTAATCTGCAATAACAGCGCCACCTTAGGGTCAAATTTGATCACTGGAGTCAGGGGACCATCCTGAACAATTCGGCTCAACTTTCATGTCAATCTGACTTGTTAGGGGGCTAGCTGCAACAAATTTTATACAGCCCGTCAGAAGGTCATGGCACATAACACAATTTGGTGTCGATCAGCCATTCCAAAGTTAAGATATGACATCACTTCTTGTTTTTAGCATTTTTCGCAAACATTTGTTAGCTTATAATTGCAGATGTGAGAGGTTCAGGTGGTAGAGGCTCAGGTTGCCCGTTAATCGGAAGGTTGGCGGTTCAATCCCCGGCTCCTCCAGACTGCATGTCAAAGTGTCCTGTTAATTTCGGTTTGAGCACTTAGGCTCAGTGAATGAATGTGTGTGAATGGTGAATGCAGATGTAGTGTACAAGCGCTTTGAGTGGTCGAAAAGACTAGAAAGGCACAATACAAATACAGAGCATTTACATTTACATGTGAACATGTACAGTCAAGTTAGATCAAGTTCCTGTGTCATGGAGAAGAGTTTAACTTCGCCGCCACACCACCGCCACACCGTTAACTGCAAACTCACAAGTTTTACAACATGGCTTCATCAATGTGTTAAGGGTTTTCTGGGATAGTTTTGAAGCAGATATGTCCAACCTGCTAGGAGTAGTACATTACAGCATAAAATGTGTGATTTCCTGTTGCCAGCAGGTGCTATGACTTAGAGTGAATATTGGCATATGGATGTGTGTTCAGGGCAGGAGTCTTACTGTACATTTAAAATTTGGTGCAGATGTGAGCATGTACGGTACACTTAAGTTATAACAAGTTCCCGTTTCATTTTGGACGCCATGCCACAGACATGAAAACTCACAGATAACTTTTCATCGTCAATGCCTTTAGAAAGCACAGCAGAAATTTGAAGTTGATCGGATTAATTCTGTAGGAGAAGAAGTTCATTAAAGTACGCACCCTGTAAACGCTGAAAAATGAGTTAAAATTTTACTTTAAATTCAAAATGGCTGACTTCCTGTTGAGTTTAGGGTATGGGTTGTTGAGGCTTTTGTGTGTGTCTTGATATGATATATGTCCCCACAAAATTTTGTGCATGTACGTTGAACATGGCGTGGGGGCTAATTTTTTCCAATTTTGTAGGTGGCACTATGGAGCCATTTTGCCATGCCCATGTGCAAGACCCCTAAAATACGCAATTTTTTGCCACACCTCACTTGTGTGCAAAGTGAGTTTTCGGGGACATTTAGGCCATCAAAAGTGCGATTCATTCAGGACAAGAATAATAATCCTTTTCAATTCAAGTTTCAATAGGGTCCTCGCTTGCTTCGAGCCCTAATTAAAGTAGCCTATCAGCTAGACATGTGTGCGTCTCCTTACCTGCTCGCGCAGCAGCATACAGTGGCAGCCCAGTGATGACAGCAAACTCATCACTGAGGAAGGCACAGTCCTTAGCATCAGCATCATAGCCGTGGACCAGCAGCCGGACTACGTCCAGGTGACTCTGCTGGCAAGACGTGGCCAGCATCCTGTTCAGCAAGTCTCTCCTCAGACATGGACCTAAGAGGGAACCAGAGACCCAACACCAGTTGGATGAAACAGATCAATCCATACAAGGCCAGGCCTGTCCCATAGATCGTGAATGTTGAGCTGTTTATTTTCCTCATACCAGGTATAGAATCCAGCAGCTCTTTAACCAGGCTTGTGTGGCCATAGTATGCTGCCAGGATGGCTGGGTTGCTGTTGGATGGCTCCTGGGGCACAGGAATACGTGCTTCTTTTAGGAGGTACTGCAGACTCTGCAGATCACCATGCTGAGTGGCTATGCACAGGAGACGTACCTATAACAACACACACAGTGAGAAAACCACTATTGACGAATAGTAGGAATATGCATTATTCCCGATCAAGCTTCATGTAATGCTGACTCTGTCTGTGTTTAGTCCAGATTAAATATTACACACAATAAACTGCAAGAGGACGTTGATTTGCTGAACTGCACAGTAAAAATGTATTTATGGGAACAATAAGTGGGTGTCTGACATCAGAATAAAAGTTTAAATTAGCGTAAGAAAAATTGCAAGTGCAAACAATATTCAGTATGCTATACAAAAAACAGTGACACTAAACCTTACTGAGACTGAGATTTATTTGATTGTTTATTCATAGTTCAGTACAGTACAGTAGAGAACACATATTATGTTATTTTACTGACAGTTCACTGATCAAAGGGAATTCTACCACACAATTTATTATTAGCTAAATTAAACCTCCATATTTGTCAATAGGAAGCCAAGCTTTCCAAGACTGCCAATTTACAGTAGTCACAAGTAATACATCTGCACTAGTTTCATATATTTATTTTGTTTGAATTTTGTTTTATAGGGACGCTGCAATTCAACATAGTTCCAATACAGAGCATGAAAGTGATGTCAGAGTTTTTCAGCTATTGCTGCTAATATTAATTTATTTTTCCTAGTTGGGCTTTTACATACGTGCAAGTAAAATATACAAATTTCAGTATCAATAATACACTACAGAAATACAATAAAATACACATATCACAATATACATACCACAATACACCTTTGTAATTCAGAGTACAATTAGCTAAAATGGGTACAGCTCTGGTTTGCTTTGAGCTAGAACTTAACCTGTCTGAAATTAATTTGATTTTCAATTGGTAAAGTGCTCCATAGTTGACAGCGCTTTATGGAGAAAGCTGATTGTTCATATTTAGATCTACGATGTGGTATTTTACAGTTACCATTAACCATGCTCCTAGTTACTCAGTTACTGTCTTGTCTTTGGATATATCTGGACATATGCGCACACATGTACACACACACACACACACACACACACACACACACACACACACACAGTCTCACACATAGACACAAACAAATTTAGGTTGTCCCTGGTAGAATTATTCCTGATGCTTTTCTTTCAGTTACTTATTTAAATTAATTATTATTCCAGCTCTCGTGGCTGTGTTGTGTTGCTTATTTAGTGTGCTGGACTGTTTCTTGTTTTCATTTTTCTCTTAGTTGTCTTACTATGTCAGCTGTTCATTGCTGCTGTTCGGCTGGTTGTCTTTTACTATTATTATTTGTTTTTTGTTTGTTTGTTTGTTTGTTGTTTTTCTCCTCCCCAAGCCCCCCTCTCTGTTCTATTGCAGGTTTCGTTGCTTTCTGCAATTGGTGTTTCCCACTGCTTTTCCCTGTTGTCCCCACCTTCCATCCCCCTTCTCTTACAGGTCTTGTCCTTTCTCTGTGCTGCCTGTTGTGCGATGTTTGTGCTCCCCTGTATCTGCCCCCCTGTCCGGCCTGGTGACAAATCAATACATAATTAAATAAATAATAAAACACACAAAGAAGTATATTAATACTCTCTTGTTAAAGTAAAATCTGTCTGGTACAATATGGTATCCAGGTCATCATACTCTATACCAGGTAGGACAGGTTTAAAAATATATATATATATCTGGACAGAGGCTCTGAGGTTAGTCTGTTCATAAATTTCAAAACTAATTTGAGAAAACAAAAATGAGTAATGCTCTCAAAGCTAAGTAGATTATAACTTTTTAGTATGTGACAGTGAGGTGTCTGATTGTAGATGAACATGCTTGAGCAAACATCATCCAATTTAAAAAATGAGAGAAGATCACAGTGCACATAAATAACTGATTGCCTGAGTGGGATATGTAGGGCCTCATTCATTTGAAACAATTAAAGTTGGTCTTTACATTTTTTTAAATCTTCATTCACTTGCTAGATTTCAGATGACGATCTAAGATTATTCCTAAGAACATGAAATCACTGATTTCTATTTCTTCACAAGCATAAATCTCAGTGAAGAAGAGATCTTGTGTGTTTCTCTAAAGGCTTGTGCCGACTACACAACTTGCTGACTTGTGACAGGAGTCTTGAAGTCGTTGTGGCGTTCACACTACGTGACTGATCAGTGACAGGGGGTCACACACTAGACAACCTGACGGCTGTGTCACCCGACGCTGGTCTCCAAACCACGTTTTGTCAAGAAAACACACGTGAAACGCGAAATGGGAAATGACGTGAACCTACATACGAAACAGCGTTTGTTATTATAAAGACAGCAATTATAAAGACATAATTTAACAAGCACTGAAGTGTAAAGTATGAACATTGCCGTTGTTGTGTTGTTTGCCATCCTCTGCAGTTGACTTGGCAATACAATTTTTCCACTTTCATTCCTTCTGGTGGAGTAGCACTTACCAGCTCCCAATGTATGAAAAGTAATCTAATACATTTGCAGGCTCAGACTGGGATGAAGAATCTGAAGTTTGAGATCCCTGCAGTACTACACAGCTGGTCAACCCTTATCTTCAAACTCAGTAAGGCAACCTTTCACTTCAACACTTACTGGTGTTTAAGAACCCAAGCCTGAATGACACTACGACAACTTTCAAACACAAACCTTTTGTTTGATGTGGGATAATAAACAAGTATTGCCTACATTTGAATAATTCATACCAGACTGAAGCTCTGGGAAATATCTGGTCATTGTTGTTCACACAGACCTGGGTCTGGCTGAGGTAGTAGATAAATGTCACTGGCACTTTTAAAACAATGCCAGTTTATGAGAGACGTGCCTGAGTGTGCTGTGTGTGAGCTGCCTGTAGTGAGCCAGCTGTATGAATATATGAATATATTCTGTTCCTGTTCAGATGTTCAGATAAACTGCAACATAAAAAGACAAACAAGATTCCCGCTCATCATTCTCCAGACAACCCACAGGGGGAGGGGTTGATTGAACCAGCCGGTTACAGCTAAGTGTAACTAAGCATCGTTACATCTGCAGCAGTAGGCAGCTACACATCATCGATAAATTTACAACACAAGTACACTAGACCTAATACAGACACTGTATTTGATTTACAGAGTAGTGGACTTATAGGTTATTAAAAGTGCTCACTGCAGTGTTTAGACAGGACATTCAGACCAGGAAGCAGCAAGCTACTTATTTTATTGACAGAAGTTCCTAGGTGAAGGTCTTAACTTGCTGGACAAGAAAGACTGTTTTTGTTTTTGTTTTCTATAAAGTATATCAGCATATCGCCATAACCCTAGTTTCCACACTGCATAACACATGATGATAAAATCATGACCACAGCCCAACAAGCGGTGCAGGTGAAAATGGGATAGTTATGTAAATTTTGTGTGTACTCACCCCATCGATAGGGGGAGCTCCCGCGCTGCACTCCAAGCAGCAGGCTTGTTGGATGAGCTCCCTGGCAGACTCCTCCGCTCCATCCTCATACGCTGCCTGGATGTTCTCCAGAGTGGGAGAACAAACCAGTGCAGAGGCGGGCCCCTGATCCTCTACCAGTGATGCCTTGGCTCCCATTTCCACCCCAGGGCCTGGCAGCATGGACATCAGACAAAAGGAAAACAGTTGTGAAATAGAAGTGAAAAAGTATTTGTGAGGAGAAATGGGATCAAACGGAGACTTTTGGCAGCATGCTGCAGATAAGATAATAAGATATAAAAATATTGATCCCCGTAGGGGAAATTCAATTTAACACAGCAGGTTAAAATGAATTTGAAAATGACATTTTGTCCCTCAGCCAAGTAACTTCTTCAGTTCAGAACTTCAGTTCAGACTTATTCAATTCAGAACTGAGAACAGGACAACGACACAAAGAACTAATATATTTGTCCTATTGCCCAATGTAGGATTGATTCTGACTCGTGTGATCCAAACATTTCCAATAACTCCAGAGCGTCCAAAAGTCAAAGTAGAAAGAAGCTCCAAGTCAACATTTACTGAAAAAAAAACAATAGATGTAATCAATTCCAAAATTCACAACATATTTTTTACTAACAAAATATATATCCATATTTGTTGGCATTTAGTTTTTTTAAAAACAACATTTTCACTGTGGTCAAAAAACTGTTTGTTAACCCGCTTGCCGCACACAATAGGAGCCCGTACCTGCCTGTTAATGGGGGAGCAATCTAACAGCACCATAACTGACAAGTTATATTTATTAAAGAAAGTTGATTTAATAAAAAACACATTAACTCATTTAATCTAATCTTTTCATACAGAGCATGTCTAGTCCATACTCTTTTTAATATTATTTACAGAGACCCAACAGTTCCCACCATGAGCAAGCACTTGGCCAAACAGGCAAAGAAAACCCCCCATTTAGCAGGTATAAACCTCAAGCAAAACCTAGACTCACGGTGGGCGGCCATCTGCTTCAACGACATTTGATGAATCCTAAGAAGCTTATCAATTTAGCATCGCAAAGGTCTTTAGATTGTCCAATTTTAAGTTGATAAGATTAATTCTCTATAAAGACCCCTGGTCATGCCCTATCCAGAAGAAAAATCTTTTGCTCAGAATAGTCTTTTCTTTAACTCTTGAGAAAGCAGTAAGATCTCAATTGTTTATCTTTTTGAGATAACTTCAGTCTGAATTGTTGCTCCTAAAACCTACTTAGGAGAAAAGATAAGGAGTGATTGAGGTTTTGAGACTAGTGTCAGACAAATGGATATTGAATTTAGATTACAATCAGAGAAATGGAAGAGATCTCATCATTGTATCTTTTTGAGTACATTAATGTCTTGCTTATTACTCCTAAAAAGCAATTAGGAGCACTAGGGAGATGTTAGAGAGCTTTATTGTATCACATTATGGTCTATGCTTAGAGAACCTTTCTTGTCCCGAGCTGGATTTGAACCCCAGTCCTGCTGCTCAAAGGGCGATAATAATGCCCCTGCACTTAGCATAGAGTGAAGAACTGATTGTCTTTAAATATAGAACAATTTTCCTTGACTCGAGAGGAGAAATAACGTATCCACAATTAAAGTCCTCAAAATTCTACTCAAGTAAAGGTAAAAAGTATTCTATAGTGAATGTACTTAAGTATCAAAAGTAAAAGTGCTTATTCTGTGTGACGTTGTATGTCAGTTCTTGCGTGCATTCAGTCCTTCATGAATTAATCTCTAAACATCATGTCAAAGTGGTGGGTGTTCCAGTTATGCTAGCTGTGACTACCTTAACAAATTGGAAAACATGAAATTTGAAAGTGCCTTATTTACAATGACGAAATACATTGTATTCTTCTTCTCAGTAACTTGTTACAGGGTCAATAAATTCAGGAGTAAAAGTATAAAGCCCCCTAAAAAGAAAATACTCAGTACCTCAACATTTGACTTAAGTAAAGTACTTGAGCAAAATACCTTCATTTTCCACCCTAAAGTGGGTCACTAAGACAAAACTGAGACATATCTGAGACTTAAATTACATTTATTTAAAATTATTTAGAGATCTCATGTTTTGATAAGAGCAAGACACAGAAGAAATGAGACATATTTGAGAAGAATCATGAGATCCCAGGAGTCATAGCTGAGTTTTCTTTGAGGTCTTTCTCTGATGTCATGGTCCTAAGGTCAGGAGACTTAAATAAGACTTATTTACGATCAGTTAGAGATCTCTTGTTTTGATCAGAGTAAGACATAAATGACATTTTATACTGTATGGTTGTTTCTCCTGAGCTGAATTTGAAGAAATAGGAGAAAAGGCCTTTGGTCTCACCTTAGTATTAACAGTATTTGTGTCTAGGAGAAATGTAAGGAACAACTACAACATCTCTTCTTGGATTTTGCTTCCCTATTAGCAATCACAGCAGAATGTAGGGTTGGGTGATATGGCAAAAATGTTAACAAGATAAACTTTTTATATCATCCGATGTTGATAATTATCAGGATAAATGTCCAATCATTATTTAAGTTTAAAGGCTGATTTTTGCTCCTGAGTGAAAGTTGAATAAACCACATGGTTAATTGTGGCTTTAAACTATTCTTTAGAACATGCAAAAAAACACTTGCCAAATAGTGGATCAGTGGATATGTATGAGTAAAATTAAGTAAATTAAGTTCTAATTTATTCATGATTCAAATGAATAAATCAAACATTAATTGAACATTTATTAAACATTTGTTATATTTGTATTGAGAAAATTGTATTGCGATAATAATCTATTGTTTTATTGACCAGCCCTAGCAGAACGTTGCGATTTTCGCCAATCCTGGCATTATGACACTTACTGTACTATAAAAAGACAGGCAGGTTATGGCGCCAAGTTCCTCATATTAGTCCTGTGCAAACAGGATTCAGACAACAAAGAAGTGTATCCTGGTTTGCAACAGTAAAAGGAGTGAATGTTGTTGTACAGGATAGCCCTGTAAATTTAGACCTGGCAGGACTGGCTGACTGCTTATTTTCTTTTTCTGGGCTATTTTTGCACAACATACTGTACATAAATAAAATAAAACCTCTGCTCGTACCTAAAGCATCTAAAGGACAAAATATAAATAAAAACTGCCCTCCCAATGCTGGTGAACCTGGACCTCTCTGTCAGTTTGGCTGGTTATTGATGTGTCTGTCAGAGCAGTTATTGATTTAACAAACACTTCTGTTTCCTCTTTCAGCTGTGTCTGAGCTGCATGGGCATGCTTCCTGCAGCACAGTGGGTTTTCTATGAATAATTAAGACAGAGAGAGTCTCACTGCTGAGGCAATATGAGAAAGTCTGAAGGGTGAAACCATTAGACCTTCATGTACATCCCATCATCTATCAACTCCCCTATCACACAGCCTTACATAACCTATCCATGAAAGCTACAAAAAGACTTTGGGTGGGATGAGGCTGCCATCATCTCCTCCATTACTGAATTTCCCCTTTCACTTGTCCATCTGGTTTACAGATCAAAGGAAACATACTGACTATCTTTTCTCCTGTCATCTATTTAATAAAAAGGTGGAATTTCCACAAAAATAACCTTTAAAGAAAAAATAGCGATGAATCCTGCCTCAATGGTGCCTTAAGATCCTTAAGAAGCCGCAAAACACCAGAATTTAATTCAGCACTTTTAGCTCTACACAATTCCCTACATGCTAATTCGGAAGCATTTCTATTTGAAAATAAATAAACCCTTGAGACTTGAGGAAGGGATTTGTATTATATATTGTATTATAGATATTAATATATTAAACAATACAGTGTTTTACAAAATGACAATCACAAATCATCAAATGTTCATGAGTGCTGCTGATCAGTACCAGTATGCTTCCTTATGGGGAATTTCCAACTCTATACTCTCAACACCAAACAGTCATCAACTGTTTCACTTTCCCTATGTCAGTGCTGAACCACAAGAAGGAACCAACTTCACATCCACTGTGGACAGTATCCAGTCTAAACTGGCAAAACACACTGGTGGCAACAAAATTTATAAGCCAAGTTAAATCAACTTCCAACTCAACCAGTGGAGAAAGACGTTTTCACATCCTTAGTTAACTAAAAGTACAGAAGTATGGTCTTCTGGCTGGTGAGCAGCACAGAGTAGCGGTGTTATCCTCTGTCTCTACCACACAGTTAACACTTCGATTACTTACTCAATATACTTTGCTTAATTTAACAAATACTAAGTAACAAACGGTTTATGACCATATTGTGCCCACCAGTAAGGCAGAACAGTCCGAGGGGTCTTGGCTCGACACAGCTACCGCTGACAATGCAACTTTGACTAGCATGCTAGATGAGCTGCGGACCGACCTGATAACCAAATCTGAATCCGTAGATGTTAGATTCGAAAGCAAAGTTGCTGCTATCGATTCTAAGCTGGACGGGATACAGACCACAGTTACCAACCACAAGCAGCGCATCTCTGACCTGGAGTCTGGCCTTAATCAGCTGTAGTCCCTGGAGTCAAAGGTAAGGTAAACGACAATGCCATATGAGAGCTAAACACACTGATTTGGAGGGGAGAAGCAGACGGTGTAATCTATGTTTGATAGATACCTGAGGCAGTTGAGGGTGCCCAGCCAATGTCGTTCTTCTCCAACCTCCTGGTAGAAGTACTGGCTTTCTTCTCCTCCAGAGCTGGATAGGGCCCATTGTGCTCTCAGAGCCAAACCGGGTGCGGGGGAGAGACCTAGAGCTGTGCTTATGCGTTTCCACAAATTCCAGACTATGGACTTAATCATTCTGGCAGCCCGCAAACACCAAAGCGAACTTAATTATAAAGACAAGCTGGTCTACATATATGAAGACTACTGTCCCGAGGTGATGGAGCAGCATGACAAATACCAGGAGGTCATGAGCCAGCTGTTCAGCCACAACCTTAAGCCTTCACTGCTTTACCCAGCGCGGCTGTTCATCAGGACAGATGATGGTAGTAGATGGCATCTCTCATCAGTGAAAGAGGTACATCAGTTCGTGTACGTATTCCAGAAACACAGCTCTCCATCGGTTGGGGACTGATCCAAATTAAACACCAGCTGCTTACTCAGGGGAGGTGGACTAGCATTATCAGTGCTACTTTGGCCCCTTGCTGCCATGCATGGAA